AAAAAATTTTCCCCTCTTGCCATGCCCTCGAAAATTCCAAATTCTTTTGTCTTTTCTTCTCAGTCCTCGTCATTACGCCCTTTCCCCCGTAAATCACCATATCTCTAATCCAATTTACAAAAGCCATTATCCTTTGTGTTTTTGACTTTGCTCAACTCCCATGGGGATTGTCATTTTTTAATCTTTAACTTATGATCATATATACGATTAAAATATACGAGTGTAAAAGTGCAATGCACTCTTACCGCTTTATTTACCAGTATTTTTGTTTTGGTCATGTGGAAAAAATTTTTTATTTTTTTACAACTTTCTCATGTATGAGGCATGACATTTGGGGTAGGAAAATGTAATATAATGTATATTTACAAATTTAAAAAAAATTGAAAGTAGTTGTAATATTGTAAGGAGATTTGTTTCGTTCCAAAAATGACTTCTAAAGCGTCTGAAGTTGATCGCTATAGACAGGTTTTTTCGTAGGGCGGTTCGTTTTACAGGGTCTTACAAAAAACGTGAAGGAAAGTGGAAGGCTATAACTTCCGGCGGAGGCGGCGCAGAGACTTCGTATTTGAAATATGTATTTTTAAAAGACATTAGTTTTTGTCTACGAAATAACAAGCTTTTAAAGTGCAAACTGAGGTCGCTACGACCCTCTGAAGTAGAGGCATCTCTACCCCGAAAACCAGGTTTTTCCGGTCGAAAATGATCGAGAAATTTCGGACTTTTTCGGTTGAAAATCACCAGAAAACGTCGGATTTTTTGGGGGGTTTCGAGGCGTGATGTTGAAAAAGAGGAGGAAAGTGCCAACACTTGCAATTTTTTTGACGTTTTCTTAAAGACTATACTAGGCGGGCCAAAAAGTCTTGACATGTCTGCACAGTGCGCCGTCGTGCATGAAATCTGTCGCGCGGAGACAAGAAAAATTCACGGTGCAATGCGACACCGCACAGTGCAAAAAGATTGTTTTGAAAAAGGGTAAACAACGCACAGTGCGCTCTTCATTCGCACCCCGCCAAACTTTTATCGCGCGACACCTCGTCGCGACACCGAATTCATGCGCCCGCACGGTACGAAAACATGTCAAGACTTTTTGGCCCGCCTAGTATCAAGAAACCCCCAAAAAAATCCGACATTTCACAGTGGCTCCACTGTAAGTTTAATATGAATTTTTATGATGAGAAAGCCTACAAATTTTCGAAAAATGACGATTACTATAGATAAATACAGTAAAATTATCTTCGTATTTTACCAATAAACCCGCCAATCTACTCAAATTACGTAGACATGTTCCATTTGGTTCACATATCAATTTCAAAAAACGTTGCCTAGTGTTTTTGCAGGGAAAGCCAAGGTTTTTTGACGTCCTTTTCAGATCATAGCTTATAGAAAATGAGGATAGATGGCTAGAGAAAAGATTTTTTTATAGCTGAAGGATCATTAGAAGATTTTAGATTTTGAGATTTTGAGATTTTTAGGGGTGTCAAAGATTATTGTAAAATGATTTTTTATTGGTTGTAAGCAGAGGTTGCCACGGTCAAAATTTCGGCTCCGGCTCCGGCTCTTTGCTCCCAGAGCCGGAGCCGAGGCCAAATTTGCAGCTCCGGCTCCGGCTCTTGGCTCCGTGCAAAATGTAAAAAGGCCTCTGGCTCCGAGTCCCGGCTCCTATGCAAAATGTTTTTATAAAAATACTTTTCCAAAAATAAAAGTTATTAGTGCCAGAGATCATAAAGCCAACGTTTTTGCAGTCAAGTCACACCCTCCGCAGTGTTTTTTCAAGCAATTTGGTTTAACAAGATCACGAAATTTTGACTTTTCTGACCACTGGGAAGCCTGGCTCCGACTTTGGGCTCGGGAGCCGGAGCCGACCCCAAAATTTCCGGCTCCGGCTCTGGCTCCCGGCTCGGAGCCGGAGCCGCTCAGAGCCGGAGCCAAGGGCCGGCTCCGGAGCCGTGGCAATCTCTGGTTGTAAGTTTATGTGAGTAGCAAAACAAAATATTTTAGAAGCCGTATTTTAAACTTAGAACATAACGGAAAATCTCCAAAAGCTCACAAAAAAATTTTTTTTCCATTTGTCAATGAACATGAAAACCTGGGAAGTTTAGGAAAACCGTAGGCTAAAAAAATGAGCTACATCTCAAGTAAATCGTATTTAATTTTTGCCAAGGTTTATCAAAATCAACGTACAGATGAAAAAATAAGTTTGAGTTTGCTATCACTCTGTCGGGAAAATAATGAACACAATTATTTTACCGCTCTCGTCGCTGAAGTGAAAAACAATTTAATTTTGCCGTGACACAATTCATTTTCTCGGCAGCGATACGATTTTTGATGCGACGGAGTGTTCATTATTTTCCTGACAGAGTGATAAAAAATCATAAAAAAAAAGTTTTTTTACTATTTTTTCAACTTAAAATATTTCTGCAAAGCATGAGCTAAAAATCTTACAATTCTCATAAAAAAAGCTGTAATAAAAATCTTCGTCAAGTTTCATCAAAATCCCTCAATTTTTTCCACCTCCGTTCCCTTCATTTTATAGTTGCCAAGGCAAAATTCAATCCTCAAACCCATCCTTTCCCCAAAAAAATATCGAAATTCTCATTTCCCGAACGACACATTACAATTTTTTCCCTCTTATCCCACAAAATAATAATGTCATTGGAAAGCTGGTCGTGTGTGTTTTTTTGCAGCCCAAAAATGAGAAGGGAAATGACGGCGGCCGTCTTTGGCCGCGCCGCTTTTTTTGCGGGAAGACATTCTGTTTTTTGGAGTCTTCGGTTGTAGATTATTGCCAATTTGGGCGAGATTTTTCTGGGGAATTAGGATGGGTGAGGAAGTTGAAGGGGAGATAAAATGACGTCATAGAGGGAAAATGGAAAAATTAGTATTTTTGTTAAAAAAAAGAGTGAAATAGAATTTTTAATGGTAATCTTTAGGTAATAAAAGATTCTTTTTGATGTTCCGTATTTTAAAAATAGGCTTTTTTGGCACAATGCAGCCTATATTGAGAGAAAGTGAGACTTGACCCATATGGGTCAAGTGTTTCACTCGTAGAGGAAATTTATTCCAACATGTGCAAAACTTGGTGAAAAGGAAGATATGTACTTACTGTTGCATATTTGAAAGTTTTAGCTTTCCTGCTGCAGCGACCATCAAGATTTTTGAGTTGAAAATTGAAAGAAATTTTGTTTCTTTTTGCGTAAAAAATTGTGATTTTGCTTACGGTGTAAATAGCAAGACATGTATAGAAGTTACTTTTTTTATGCGATATTGCAAAGCTGTAGCCAAAAAAAAGAAGTTTTTATAACTGTCTCTCTTCATTTTCTATAGTTAATCATCTACAAAGGTAGTTGAATATCTCGGCTGTCAGTGCAAACTATTGGCTAAAATTTTGAAACATTAAAACATGAGCGGATTGTATAAGCAAAACTTGAAGTAAATCAAACCATCGTATGTTAAGAAATTTCGATTAAAAAAATCGAGCCCTTTGTAATCACTTTTTTTCCAAAATTTGCTGACCTTCAGTTCTAGTCCAAATTTTGACGACATTTCCGTTTTCAAATTCGACGTGTTATCGGATTTAATCTCATTTATACTCGCTCTACATGATTTCCAACAAATCTTATTACAAATTCTCTAATTACATTATGCATGAGACTTGATATGGCTTCGGGAAACCCTTGAAAATTCCAATTATTTTCTCCTCCGGCCGCCGTAAATCTCTTTGTACCTTATTCTTCCTGCTTTTGTCTCTAAATTTCCACTACTTTCCTTTCAAAATGACTGAAAGGAAGGACATTTTGAAAAGAAATTATGACTTTTTTATCTTATCCTTCCAGCCCTCGTCATAAGCTCATTACGCGAAACGGAAGAGCCGTTAATTGCCTGATTATGTGACACGGGGATTACTCACCTCGCCGGGGTGCCGCCGGAGGGTGTTTGCATTTGGCAGGCCGGGGAAGAAAGATCCCCCCTCCGGCTATTGTCTTGCTTTGTGCTTGGGGCCGCATTCATTCATTTTTCAACACCAAAAACACTCTCGTTTTCCGCCTGGGAGATATTCCCCCCACCATTCCCCTCCGGCATTTCGTGGGCCCGCCGGGGCCCCGCAGAAGTGGGCTCGATTAAATCATGGATGTGTTTGTGTGTGCCCCGGAGGCGATTTGGGGTCGGGAGGGGGAGAAAAAAATGGGGTTCAGAAAGTAATTGCGTCAAGATTTCCGGGTGTTTTATTCTGGCTTCATTCCGCTTTCAAAGCCGAATAAAACTGGGATAAGTGCTGGACGAAGAAACTGCGGATAAATGCTGGCTTATGGGGGGCCGATCCCGCGGATTACAAGGTGTGTAATTGCCCGCAGGGCTTGTTTGTTTCCGTGCCCAAAATCGGATTAGATTGGGATTAGGGGATGTCACAAATTGTGGAGGAGATTTTAGCGGGAGAAATTTAATTTGATTATTTCTACTTCGTATGTAGCTTGTGTCTTTTTGGACTCGTATTTTATCACTTTTCAAGTCTACCATAAAATTCATAACGAATTTTCTTTCTTTTTTCATTATCTTTGTATTTTTTAAATATTGGCATTTCTTATTTCGCGAACTTTTTAAAATTCTCAATATTAAAAGTAGATTCCCTTAGGACGGTACCCTTAAACCAGAACTAAAATCATCATTCAAATGACGCTCTAAGTCGTAAAAAAATCGCATCCAAATCTCCGTTCTCCAAGTGCTTGCCACTCTCTGCCAACAAGTCCATCCAAAGCGCTTCAAAGGCTCTTGCAACGGCCATTTCAACGAGTTAGATTCAAGGCCTTGAACATCGACCAGGCTCGGCCAAACTCTACGATCCCTCGCCTCTTGGCTTGATCGCAGCGCAAGCCGAAGAGAAATCGAAGCGCCGCCAGCCAAGCGGCAAAAATCAGCGTCGAGTTTGCCGAATCGGCCCGCGCGAACCCAGCGAACGTTGTGCACCGCCGGCGATGCAAGGTGATGGCTGATGCGTTGGGAGGATGCGACCACGGCACGATCGCGCGGGGCCGTCGGGCGTTGACAGCCCGACAACGACGTCCCGCTCCGCCACGCCCACCACCAAGAAGCACCACCATCCGTTCGGCGGGCTGCTGCGCCGCGAACTGCACTTGCACAACTTTTTCTCGCGCTCCCGACCCTCACGTCATTTCAGCCCACCCGTGAACCCCTCCGAGCCCAACACCAGCCAGTCCTACAAGCAGTCGCCGACGTTGCAGCGCGGGGATCGGCATGGGATGACGGGCAGCTCGGGACGACTGCCGTCCAGCTCCAGTTCGGGCGGGTTTCATCAGCATCTGCTGGGCGTCGGAAGTGGAGGTCCGCACGCGAGACGGGAGTCGTTCTTGTACAAGCTGAACGATGAGCGCGACTTTCAACCGACCTCAGCTGGTGGCTGTAGGCCGGTCTCCAGAGCCAGCTCGGTCGCTTCGCAGGACCCACAGTAAGTTGGGGGGTGTGATGATAAAAAAATGGGGGTAAAAGGGAGGAGATGATGGGTTAAATAAGGCTGGGCATTGTTTAGAAAATACATACAAGGTATGTAGAGCTCTCTACAAGGCAATAGGGCCAATGTATTTGCCACCAAAAGGAGTTACATGTTGTCAAAGGTAAAAATTACTAAAAAATCAGATTTCTCTGCTTTTTAGGCCACTTTTACCAAGAATACAACTAAAAATGCCGCACGTCAAACTGACAAGGGAAGTACTTGAAGTGCGACGCTCAGATTTTGATAAAAATTGGCATAGATGGAGATTGGAATTTTCTTATTCGATTACGAGCATCCTAGCTCGCGCTTTGCAGAAACCGCCGAGAAAGAAGGGCCGGAATATCGAAAAAAATCTTCAAATGCCGACGAATTTCCCTGCAAATTCTCTTGATCTTGGCATTCCGTTCCTGGAGAAAAATATTTTTTGTCGCAAGAAATTTTTTCTTGATAATGTTCAAGACTGTTTTGTTGCTTTTATGTGGATTATGATGTGTTATTTTCACTTTTTTATACTCAGGACATGATTCTAGCGCTATTAATTGGATTGTTGCCATCCGAAGGGTAAAATGTTTCGTTTTTTTGACGAATTTATGCAGCTTTTCCTCTGCGGATGGGCAAACCACTCTAATAGTTGCTTCAAAGTTGTTTTGGAGAGATGGAAAGCGCTCTGCTTTGTGCGTGAACGTTATCATAAAGTAAGTCTTCAAAAAATTTATTTTTTCACTATTATTCAGTTTATTCCATTTCAGCAAACAAAGTAAGGGTCCCAAAGGTGTTCCGCCATTGTACTCAATGTTCCGATGGTGCACAATCGCTGTTCTCGTTGTTCTGAATTTGCTTGCTGAAATAAAAAATAAAATTTTTGGGAAACTTACTTTATGATTCGTTCATACACGAAGTAGAACGTTTTGCCTCTCTCCTAATCAACTTTGAAGCAACTATTAGAGTGGTTTGCCCATCCGCAGAGGAAAAGCTGCATAAATTCGTCAAAAAAAACGAAACATTTTACCCTTCGGATGGCAACAATCCAATTAATAGCGCTAGAATCATGTCCTGAGTATAAAAAAGTGAAAATAACACATCATAATCCACATAAAAGCAACAAAACAGTCTTGAACATTATCAAGAAAAAATTTCTTGCGACAAAAAATATTTTTCTCCAGGAACGGAATGCCAAGATCAAGAGAATTTGCAGGGAAATTCGTCGGCATTTGAAGATTTTTTTCGATATTCCGGCCCTTCTTTCTCGGCGTTTTCTGCAAAGCGCGAGCTAGGATGCTCGTAATCGAATAAGAAAATTCCAATCTCCATCTATGCCAATTTTTATCAAAATCTGAGTGTCGCACTTCAAGTACTTCCCTTGTGAGATGAGCTAAAACAGTCCGGTGAATGGATTGGTAATTTGCCAAAAAAAGAAGCGAAAAAACGTTTTGTCGGGGAAGAAATGGGGAATTTTTGGGGCGAGAGAGCACGTTTTTGCGTGTCTTTTTTCTCTCTTTCTCTGCGAAATCAAGACGAAGTGTAAAAAACCGATAGCGAAGGGTCTATTCCGGTCACCGGACTCCTCAGTTTGACGTGTGCCGCTGCTAGTATATTTCGAAGGATGAAAATTCATCTAGCATCTACTTTCATTATTTTACGGCCCTTTATTATCCAAATTTCAAAAAAATTTATTTTTCCTCAAATTTCGACCCAAAAATCCAATCCAAAGTTCGCTCCAGTTGAACTCAATTTCCCTCCAAAGTTTAATCACCCAACCCCAACCCATCCTGTGCGCCATAGATCCGCCCGGATTCGGATGACGCAAGTCGGCGGCAATCCTCAACTTTTTCGGAGTAAGTTCCCGTTTAAAACCCAACCGATGGGCCGCCGAATCGCCGAATATTTAATTAAGCGCGAAGAGGGAAATCTTTTCAAGAATTTCGCTTTCGAAAACCTTCTCCGCCGCATTTATTGGGGTTTGCAGGACGCGAGAGCCCCAAGAATGGAGACGAGCCGGCTTCGCGAACGTTTACGAGGAGGGCCGAAGTGTCGAAGATAAAACGCAAAATAAAGAGGGGCCGGATTCGTGGGGGGTGCCCGGGAAACGCGCGCCTCTCCTTGGCGGCCCCCGGGTAACAGTTTAATTTCACTGTTTGCCTTCATGCCAAGCGCTGCGCCTCCCGATGTCATCACAAGGGTTTTGAGCCCAGATTTCGGGTCGGCTTCGGGGGTTTGGAGGGTGGAAATTTTTTTGGATTTTTTGTGGGTTAATGGAAAGTTTTGGATGAAAAAGATGGATTTTTGAGATTTTACAAGTATGTAGGCCTTTCAGATTAAAGTAGTTGGTAGTACAAAGGTATTCTATCCTATTAAAGGACTTTAAATCAGGGTTTTTGGCCTTAAACTGGAAAATTTTTAGATTTCTGGGCCTGTTCTACAGATTTTTGATGATTTTTCATGAGTTTTGTAAATTCAAGGCCTTCTATCTTTCGGATACTGACAAATTCTATATCTCCCACAATTTTCACACCATTGTCGATCTTTGAAAATTGAATTATTGGCAGTTATCGGCCTTAACTATCAGTAATCGAATTTTTTTAATGACAAACTGGCGGTTTTTTCTGATTTCTTCAATTTTGCTTCAATTTCTTCAAAATTTATAACCCTAGACCCCTCAGGATCTCACAGCAATATGTTTCATACTGTCTCGCAATACAAACAGCGATTAGATTTCAAAACGTTTTTTGGCATTTCTCTCAATTCCCCTCCTTTTAGGGAGATTTTTGAAGATTTATCAGATTTACGGCTTGTTTCCCGGGATTGACAGCTTATTTCTCTCGTTTACAACCAGTTCACGGGACGTTTCGTGCGTTAGTTTCGTTTGCAAGGCATTTTGAGGGTTTTTGAAAAACTAAAATTTTTCATTTTTTTCAAAGTTTCTCAATTTTTTGGGGAAAAAAATGATTAAAAATGCAAGAGAAGTATCCCATGTGCAACGCTCAAATTTTCTTCAAATTTTTCACACATATCGGGGATAGACTAAATATCAATTCCTGAAAGTTTTAGCTCACGCTTTGCAAACGTCACCGAGATATTGAACGATCTTTGCCGCCGAGAGAGTTCGCTAAATGCGGAGTGCGGTCAGAGAGAAAAGCGTTTTTTGGCCATAACTTTGCTAGTTTCGTGCGGAAAAAATTGATTTTTTGTGGAAACATTACGCTTTACGGTAGAAAAAGGTGTGCAATTTTTCGTGCCGAAATTCGGCAAAAAGACTGAAATTTTCGCCGATTTTCGATCTAAAAATCTTGGTATTTTTTGCAAAGCGCAAGCTAGAATTCAATATATATTTTTAGAGAGAATTATTCTAAATTTGTGCCAAGTTTCAGCAAAATCTGAGCGTCGCACTTGGGGTACTTCCCCTGTAAATAAAATAAATAAAATTCAAAAAAAATTTTTTTCTCCGTCTTCTCATGGGGTTATGGCGGTTCTGCAGCAAGAACAAAATTCAATAATTAAAAAATTTTTATGGGATTTTTTCCAAACCCATTTGACCGGAGGATCCCACGTCACTCGGAGCTGTGGCTTCTCGGAAAAGTTTTGTTCCCCGCAGAAAACATCCCGGTTTTTGTTCATCTTATAGGTTGGGTTCAGAAATCAGCAGTTTTTTATTTCCCTTCATTACTATGGAAGTAATTTTTTGTTACAAATAATGAGTGTTTTTACGTTTTTTTGTTACAAATTTTCACTTTTTGCTACTTTATGCCGACTTCTAGGAGAAGACCATATTTTAAGAGGTAAAATGGGGAGGTTAATTTGCGGATAGGCTAAAATACGAGCTTGAAAAGGGTAAAATACGAGCGTTGACTTTTCCTCTTTTTTTTGAAAAGTTATAAAATACGATATTTGTCCTTCAAAACTCTAAAAAATATATTCTATTAAGTTTTGGGATTTTTACGAGAAATAAGTCCTTTCAGCCCTCTTAAAAACCTCTATAACTAATCAAAAACAGTGTTTTACAATGTATATAAAAGTGGTCACAGAAGTTCTCGGAGTTTATTTTCCCTGTTGCGTCGAATTCCAGTGCAAAAATGGGACGTTTATTTTGGAAAATCTGTGCCAAAAAAGCTGAAAATTTTAAAATTGTTAGAAAAAACCACTGCAGATTTTGAAAAATCGCTGCAGGACGAAAATTAAAGTGTCCAGTGATTTTTCAAAATCAATGTCAACACATTTTTGTACTGGAATTTGAGCAAAAATGAAAGTTGCGGACTTCTGTGACCATCTTTATATGTATTTTTGTCCTTAACCAACTTTTTGCTGAAGAAAAATTTTTAGGTCAAGATTTTCTTTTTTTAAGCGAGATTTTTAGGTTATAATTGTGCCAAAATTTGAGATTCAGGCTTTTTCCCAGGGTGAAAATTACTCTTTTGTCGTAGCACTAGACGATTTTTTTCGACGCCAAATTGACAGAGAGTTGGCAAAAACCTTTTCTCTCTGGTAGCTCTCCGCGTTTCGCGCGGTCTCTCGTTTTAAAAAGGTTGTTGAATATCTCAGCTGCCGTTGCAACGGGAAAGCTGAAATTTTCAGGAATTGATATGTATTCTAGGCTCAGCTTATGGGAAATTTTTTTTGAAAGTTGGGGGTTGTTGTTTGGATACTCGGATTTTGAAAATTTTTTAAAATAATTGAATTCAAAATTTGAGATTCGGGCTTTTTCCCAGGGTGAAAAATACTCTTTTGTTTGAGCACTAGACGATTTTTTCGACGCCAAATTGACAGAGACTTGGCGAAAAAACGGTCTCTCTCTCTGACCGCCCTCCGCATTTCGCGAAGTCTCTCGTCTTAAAAAGGTGGTTGAATCTCTCAGCTGTTGCTGTAACGGGAAAGCCGAAATTTTCAGGAATTGATATGTATTCTAGGCTCAATTTATGGGGAAAGTTTTTTTTTAATCTGAGAGCTCTTCTCTGAATACTGTGATTTTGAATTTTTTGGAAATTATAAAAAAATTAAAATCAAAAAATTTTTTTTTTGTTTTTTTTTTATTTTTATTGAAAAACAAATCTATTCCTTTTTTCCCTCCAACCCCTTTTTCTCTCCCCTTTCAGTTCATACAATACTAATTTTCATTCAAACGCCTCGCTCTACGTCGCTTTGCGCCCTCATTGTGCGTAAATTCAATATTTGAAAACCTCGGGGCGAGAAAGTAACAATGAACGAGGGAGTGGGGAGAGGAAAAAACTTTTGGGAAAAGGTTCCGGACGGGGCCGCTCAAAACCCTCATGCAGAAAAATCGACGTCAACGACCTTTTGTGGCCGGCGTGTGTCCCTCGCAGCCTGCCCCGCAGCCTGCCCCGATGTCTGTGCCCCCCCTTCTTCTTTTATTTGGCCAACTATGCGAATTTTCGTGCGAAACGTCCCAACATTTCACATCGTTCCGATTTCAGCGTTCGGGAATGCCCCCCGCCGGGGGTTTGGAGCCGGCTTCTGGGACTTGGGATTTGGGGATTTTTCGAATTTAAAAGGGAAATTTCTTGGGATAAAAGTGTGATTACAGAAAAAATACATTAATGACATGGTGAAAAAATATTTTTTGATTTATTTTTTTTTGGGTTTTTAAACTAATTTTTTCAAAATTCCCTGGATGATGAAAGACTTTATGATGGGTTCCAAAAGGTCGCAATTTTTTTGGCAAAAGTTCACGATTTTAAAATGAAATTTCTTGAGGAAAAAATAGAACTAATAAAAAAATATTGCCTTTGTTAAGCAGCCACCAGGCCGACCTGAATTTCGAGATTTTTTTTAAGTTTGAATTTTGGGATTTTTTAATTTTAAATAGAAATTTCTTTGGTTAAAAGGCAAAAATGTGATATAAAAATCTTCTCTCTGTAACAGTACCTTTATATTTGCTGGATTTTAGCCTTAAAAGTCGATTTTTTGAAGGTTCCCTGATCCTCAGGGTTTTCGTGGTGGGACTCAAAATTTTCATTTTTTATGCAAATTTACGCCTTGATTTTTTCTCACAGCGTTTTTTCACGGTTAAAACATCAAAACAATGCTTTTTATCGATGATTTACATGATCTCAAGTTTTCGTGCCGAGACCCAAATTTTTTTCTAAAAATTTTTTTATTTTCAAATCATAAAAAAATCTTGTTTTTCATCAAGAAACCCATTTTTTGTTCTTCCAAGGCCTTCTTGGCCTCAAAAATTCTCCAATTTCCCCCCTTCACATCATCTTCATTAGGTCCCGGCACGAAAACAATACTTCTCCCGTTCCCATTTTCGCATCGGTTTGGGGCCGCGTAATTAGAATTATTCATCCGAGAGATTAGTCAATTTCAACGGGATTATTCGCTTCCGGACGCTTTCTTTTTTTTTTGTTTGTTACTACCGCGTTCGGCGTGGGAAAACCGTAAAATTATTCGAAAATGGGATTAAATTTCGCGGGAGATAAGATCGAATTTCGCGACAACAACAATATTTTCGTACCAAATATTTGATTTGCAGCGGTTTCTGGAAGAGAATTTTTGATTATTGGGGGAATTTGGAAAAATTTTGGGTCTCGCCACGAAAACTGTAAAAATTGAAAAAAATGGATTTGAAGGTTTTAAGAATATATTTTAAGTGCTTATAAGTACGAATTGACAGAAATTAATTTTATTTTTGAAGTGAATCTCAAATCGAAAATTTTGTTTTGGTCTCGCCACGAAAATTTTTAAAATTTATTATGCTTTATTTTTACGCGAGAGAGCGATTCCCGCCGTATTTTACACTTTTTTTGACTTTCACAGTCCAAAAGTTTTATAGACTGCCAATTTTTGGGTCCCACCACGAAAACAACTGATTTAGATAAATCGAAAAATCCCGACTTTAAGTTTTTAGTATGTGTAGATTCTTCGTATTTTACCTCTAAAATTTCAATTTTATGCAAAGTTTTATCTAAAGGCCTTTTTTATCATCTTTTTATCTTCAACTACATTTCTAAGCCGTATGACGCTCAAAAATTGGATGATTAAAATACAACTAATGCTTTTTTGGACCGGAATTTGCAGTTTAGTAATTGCAATCTTCTTTGTCTTTAGGTTGGAGCTAATTTTTGGATTAATCTTTCATTTTTTGCTTAACTTTTTAGGATAAAATTGCAATAATTACGGGAAAATTTAGTCAAAATTTTGCTTTTGCATTTGAAAAGGTTGTAAAATACGCCGTGATGCCCTTCCACGTTGTGTAAAGTTTCATCAAAATTTGGGCTTCAAACTCTTAGAGATTTCCTCTGTAAAAAAACTATATATTACATATAACTCTCTGTAAAGAAACTATATATATATATATATTGCATATAAATCAATTTTACATTGCATATATATTGCCTATTATTCGCGCGTCTTTCTCCCTCCCTTCATTGACCACACTCCACAACTTTACAGTCCTCTCTAACCGGTTAACCTTCCCTCTTCCCTTCCACATGTAGTAGGCCAACTCTTCCCCGACTCCCTCGCAACGCCCACTAAAGAGTTGTTGGATTTGTGGACTCTCCGCCACGCTGGAGCAAAGTCAGACCCTCCTGGAGCACAGGAAGACCTCCTGTGTTCTGCCGCGACCCCCCACCCAACAAACCTTGTTGGGCGGGGTCAAGCGGCGAAAGTCATCATGCTTGAATACAAGCTCGTTTATGGGTACAAAAAGGTAGAGGAATGGGAAAAAATGGTTGGAAAAATATGTTGCGGAAATTTGCAAAAATATTATTTTTCAATTTTTATCTAATTTCACGAAAACAGGAAATTGAAAAGCTCAAAAAAATGTGAAGATCTAATTTTTGGGAGCCGATTTTTTTACGGGATGTATGAATATGAATTTTGTAGGGCAAATTGAGATTTTTAGCTCGCGCTTTGCAGAAATAATTGAGATTTTTAATTTTAAAAATTTCAAAAAAAAAAAAAATTTTTTTATTTATTTATTTTTTTTTTTTTTGAAAATTGTGGATCAATTCTAGGAAGAAAATTCATTTTTTGCCATAAAAAAGATTTTCCGTGGTACCAGAAATCATAGAGAAGACGAAAAAAATTTGTCTGACCGACTCTCTTCATTCGATGTACTCTCTCACAAAAGAAGAAGATTGTTTAATATCTTGGTTGTGGTTGCAAAGCAAGAGCTAAAATTTTTAGGGGTTGATTTGTGACTTATTTACAATAATTTTTGCATATTTAAGGGATTTTTTGGAAAAGAAAAATTTTTAAAAAAGTATCTTTTTTCACAAAAAATTCAGAAAAAGTTCTCAAAAATCTCAAATCAACTGGTATTTTTTAAAAGTTCAATCTAAATCACCCTTTTTCAGACACGGCGATGATCTCATAGTGACTCCATTTGCCCAACTCTTGGCCTCTCTGCGCAATGTTCGGGCCAACTTCATTGCGATCACGAACCTGCCCAACGAGGACGACAAGTATCGGATGCCTCGGAAACTCCTTCTACACACGCAAGCCCTCTCCGAACCCGCCCAACAATGCGCGCAGGAGACGCTGGAGGAGCTGGATTGGTGTCTGGACCAGCTGGAGGCAATCCAACTGCATCGGTCCGTGTCGGAGATGGCCTCCAGCAAGGTGAGGATTGGAGGTTTTGGATTTTTTTTTTTTTTTTTTTTTAGGGTTTTAAAATATTGATTTTGAGTCAAAAATTGGATAAAAATGAGATTTTTGAAATTTTAATTTTGCTTTTTATACTAAAAAAAGAAAAAAAGAAGTTTTTTTTGTTTTTTTAGAAATTGAAAATTTTTCAAAAAATTCAAAAAATCAAAAAAAAAAAAGATTTTTTTTTTATTTTTCTCATAAAAAAGTTAAATTTTTTAATTTTCAAATTTGCTTTCCAAAAAAATCAAAAAGATTTTTTTTCAAATTGAAAAAATCAAAAAAAAATTTTTTTTCCCCAAATTACTTTTTTTATATGTATTTTCAACATGATCTTTACCTCTTTTCAGTTCCGAAAACTCTTGAACAAAGAGTTGAGTCAGTTCGCGGAAAGCTCCAAATCGGGTACTCAGGTGACAAAGTTCCTCATCAACACGTACATGGACCGGGGTGAAGATGAGAGCAATGAAGCCGGAGATGTAAGTTTTTTGAATTTTTTTGTCTCATTTTGATTTTTTTTTTTTTTTTTTTTTTTTTTGAAAATTTTAATTTTTTCCCCGAATTTTCCGTCTTTTCCAACCAAAAAATATTAATTTCACCATCCAGCCCACGCAAAATTGGATCTCAATTTTCTCAGAAATTGATATTATGTATAAGATATCTTGAATATCTTGAACACGCATTAAAAATTTTGAGATCGTATATAAGCACGCTTTGTTTTCCGAACGGCAAAGTGCGATAAGTTTTTCACTTCGAGAAGGAGTTACTTTGCTACATTTTTAATACTTCCCGGATGCAAAATGATACGTTTCTTGCCACTGGATCAGGTCGTCATTGTAAACAAAGTTTCATCATAATCCGAAGTCAATTCTCAGTTAGGGAGACACTTGACCCATTTGAGAGGAGAAGCCCCCAAGTGCGACGCTCAGATTTTGATCAAAACTTGGCACAAATTTTGAATAATTTTTTCTAAATTATATGCGATAATCCTAGTAGCGCTTTGCAGAAACAACCAAGATTTTTAGATCAAAAGTCGGCCAAAATTTGACACTTTTTGCCGAATTTCGGCACGAAAAGTTTCATGCCTATTTCTACTTTGGAGTGTAATTTTTCCACAAAAAATAAACTTTTTCCGCACGAAACTAGCAAAATTATGGCCAAAAAGTGTGTTTCTCTTTGACCGCTCTCCGCATTTAGCGTACTCTCTCGGCGGCAGAGATTTTTGAATATCTCGGCGGCGCTTACGAAGCACGAGCTGAAACTTTTTGGAATTGATACTTACAGGGGAAGTACTCCAAGTGCGATGCTCAGATTTTCCTTAAATTTTGCACACACATCGGGTATGGACTAAATATCAATTCCTGAAAGTTTTAGCTCGCGCTTTGCGGGCGCCGCCGAGATATCGAACGATTTTTGCCGCCGAGAGAGCACGCTAAACGTGGAGAGCGGTCAGAAAGAAAAACGCTTTTTGGCCATAACTTTGGCAGTTTCGTGCGGAAAAAATTGATTTTTTGCAGAAACATTATCCTTTACAGTTGAAATGGGCATGAAAGTTTCGTGCCGAAATTCGGCAAAAAGTGACAAATTTTCGCCGACTTTCGATCTAAAAATCTCGGTTGTTTCTGCAAAGCGCGATCTAGGATTCTCACATGTTTTTCAGTAAAAATTATTCTAATTTTGTGCCAAGTTTCATCAAAATCTGAGCGTCGCACTTGAGGTACTTCCCTTGTTAGTTTTGTCGTCTTTGAAAGAAATTTTTTGAAGATTGACCGCGTATTCTTGCAGCATTTTTTTCTTTTCCCTTCACGTCTTCTTACACTTTGAATTCCTAAATCCTTTGACCTTTCCGACTGTTATAAACAGTTTCACATGTAAAAGTTCATTCTTATAAAGCCTTTATCTTTGCAGGGAAGCACTGCCATTGCGTCCACATCAAACTGCGCCAGCCCGCAGCTGTCGCTGTTCAACAAGGCCAAGACGGCGGCCATGTCCAAGATTTCGGGGGTGCGGCGGTTGCGTGCCCCCACCCATGCCGGCGCCCCGCCCGAATACGGGGTGGAGTGTCAGAAGGAGATTGTCGTCTACATGGACCGGGTGAGTCGGAAATTTCTGTTCGAAAAAATTTGTTTTCTACGACTGAAACATTATCCCCAAACATTAGACGGCGCATTACAGCGGATGTGAGGCCGGAATCGTTGAAGTGAGAGGAAATGCGCGTGGAACTGGGCAAATATTAAGAGGGAAAAAAGGAATTTTTAACAAATTTGGAGGCTAAAGAAAAAAAACGAAAAAATTTCAAGAAAAATTAGAGCTAAAATACGATTACAATTTCCAAATTCAGGAAAGCAAAGGTGTTTGCCATCATTATTTTTTAAAATCTTGTGGTAAAAAATCATAAATTGGCCAAAAAAATGATTTTTTGGGAAAGTTCGGATTTTTTTAATTTTTAGAAAAGCCATTAATTTTATATTTGAATCCCAGCTTCTATTTCCGTATTTTACCAGTTATGTCTTCAAAAGTTCATTTTGAATAATTTTACGACAACAATCTAGTTTTTGAAACCGATTCCCATCAAAAAGCACTTTTAAAAAACCGAAATTTTCAGAATGCCCTGAGGCAAATTAAACCTAGCATCATTTTAAACAAAATTTCAAGTCGTTTTCAAGGCGTTTCTATCAATAATATGCCAAAAAACATTCAAAACAAAAGGCTATCAACGAAATAAAACCCCTGAGTATGTCCATTTTTATGCAAATTTGCGAAATTTTCTGAAAATGAAATTCCTTCTAGACGCAAGAAAAACCTTCAGGAACTCTCCTGGGAGGCTTAGTTTTTCTGTATCTGATCGATTTTTGACAAATTGACAAGTTTTTTGTGCCATTCGTATATTGTACTAGGCGCAGGTGTTCAGGCACTAGTTATTTAGCTCCACAGAACCGCCAATGGTTTAAAGTTTTATTCACAATAAAAAGAGTGCCATAGTCTATAAATATAGTGTTTTTAAAATACGCCCCACCTCCTCCTTTTATCTTAAAATTGTCTTTTCAGCTCGGCGACTGGGGCATTAATGTCTTCAAGATCAACGAGCTCTCCAAAGGCCACGCACTGACCTCCATCACCTACACGATTCTCCGCGAACGCGGCCTCCTCAAACGCTTCGATATCCCGGCCACCACGCTGATCACGTATTTATTGCATCTGGAGCACCACTACAAAGACAACCCGTACCATAATCAGATCCATGGGGCCGATGTGACCCAATCCATGCACGTTTTACTGTCCTCCACCGCGTTGGAAGGCGTTTTTACGGATCAAGAGACGTTGGCGGCGATTTTTGCCGCCGCTATTCATGACGTGGATCATCCGGGCTACACCAACCAATACCTCATCAACACGAATAACGAGTTGGCCATCATGTACAATGATGAGAGCGTCCTGGAACAGCATCATCTGGCGGTGGCGTTCAAGTTGTTGCAGGATGTGAGCTGCGATTTCCTGGTGAATTGGAGCAAGAAACAGCGGCAGGCATTCAGGTGAGAAATAAGCTTGCGGTATCTTGTTATTGCAGGTTTATAGCAGCGAGAGAAACACTTGACTCAAACAAGTCAAGTGTTGCGCTGGCGGTAAAAAATTTGAAATTCCGTGAAAACTCCCTTGGTATAGAAAAATTTACTGTGTTTTTTAAAACATCTTTTTTTGGCTTGAAATGAAGACTTGACTCAATTGGGTCAAGTGTTTCCCTTGATGATAAAATGGTCAAATTCTTAAGAAACATGACGCAAACTTAGTGAAATTCTAATTTTCGCTTGCGCTAAATTTCAAAAAAATTTTTCGAATTGCCCTGTGAAGGGAACACTTGACCCAAATGCGTCAAGTCCTACTCTTTTGCCCAATCTGTCAATAAAAACCTGTCGTATTTTAAAAAAATCTTTTTCATAGCAAGGTTTAAAAAGAAAACGATTTATTTTTTCAGAAAAACCGTGATTGGAATGGTCTTGGCCACGGACATGTCCAAGCACATGTCCCTTTTGGCCGACTTGAAGACAATGGTTGAGTCCAAAAAAGTGGCCGGAAATTCGGTTCTTCAACTCGACAAGTACAATGATCGGATTCAAGTCCTTCAGAGTATGATTCATTGTGCGGATTTATCGAATCCAACCAAACCAATCGAATTGTACCGGAATTGGAATCAGCGAATCCTGGAAGAGTACTGGAAACAGGGAGACAAAGAGAAGGAGTTGGGGTTGGAGGTCAGCCCAATGTGTGATCGATATAATGTCACGATCGAAAAGTCACAGGTGAGTGGAAAAAATCGAACTGAATTTTTTAAACGGGGATTTTTTAATTTTGAAAGGGATTTTGTAAGGTTTTAATTGAAATTATATTTTGTCCAAGCTACTGTAATATCAATAATAAGGCTTTACGAGTAATAAAAAACGACATTACGGTGAAAATATCCGATCATAAGGACTGAGGGGAAGACTTGACTCAATTGGGTCAAGTGTTGCACTCAAGGCGAAAAGGCTTCGGATTTTGATAAAACTTGACCTATATTAAAATTAGGCTTTTCCGATGTACATACGACTTTTTTCTACTTACTCTTTGCAGAATTCAACAAGATTTTTAGGAAAAAATTTGATAAAAAAGTCGAACCCCTTTGACTGCAAAGATCGTTGAATATCTCAGTTGCTTTGGCCAAAAAAAATCTAAAATTTTTAGGTAGTAATTTCTAGGCCATATAAACTATGCTCGCAAAATTTTAGGGGTTTCTGGTGTTTTCCTCTCGAGATCTATCACTTTTTTGATGAATGACACCAATATTTCATCTTTTCAAATTTTCTCATTTTCAGGTCGGTTTCATCGACTACATCGTACATCCCCTCTTCGAAACGTGGGCCGAACTCGTCCATCCGCACGCTCAATACATTCTGGATCAGCTGGAAGACAATCGGCAATGGTATTTGTCGCGGATACCCGATGAACCGGCGACCGCTCGCGAAGGCGACGATGAAGACCAAGAGGAGGACGAGGACCGCATGACTCAGCCACTCAGCGGTCAGTTGGAGCCGATCCCATCGCCCGACGAGTCGATTGGCGACTCCGTGGAGCTGAACAACTAGTGCCTGTGGTACTGCGCCTAGTACAATATACGAATGGTACAAACAACTAGTCAATTTGCCAAAACTGGATCAGATACAGCAAAAACAAGCCTGCCGGGAGAGTTCCCGGAGGTTTTTCTTGCGTCTAGAAGGAATTCCATTTTCAGAAAATTTCGCAAAGTTTGCATAAAAATGGACATACTCAGGTCTTTTATTTCGTTGATAGCCTTTCGTTTTGAATGTTCTTTGGCATTATATTGATGGAAACACCTTGCTAACGACTTGAAATTTCATTTAAACTGATTTTGAGTTTTATTTGCCTCAGGGCATTTTTAAAATTTCAATTTTTTTAAAGTGCTTTTTTGATGAGAACTTATGTCTAAAACAAGGTGTTTCTGGCAATATCATTGCAAAACGTCTCTTTGAAAACAAATTCAGTGGAATTTCGGTGCAGAATAGTGTGAGATGGTAAAATACGAGCGGGATTTTTTCGGTAGTAAAAGCTAGAATTTGATGATTTTCCAACATTTTCCCGAAAATCTTGGCCTTTATGCGATTTTTTGTGAAGATTTAGATTGATTACGGTAGAAAGAGCCTTTTTCTTCTATAATACAGTAATTGGAAGTTTTTTTAATGGTAAAATACGGCTGAAGAACTCTCACCATTTTTTCAAAAAAAAAGATTGCCAAAAACGCTACAAATTTCATTTTTTCCAAATTTTCAACTTTTTTCCACTTGACTGCGAAAAATTACAGAACCCCAAACAAATTTACATTATAGTCAACACCTCTCTGCATCCGATTCCACTGTCTTCCCTCCACAAACACTCAAAAAATGCTTTAATTCTGTCGTTTTGTGCCATTTCTTTTCGCCTTCCCACTCTCCATTTTCGGTGCTGTCTTTTCTCTGCTTTAACAATCCTTGTGAACAAAAAAGAAACACAGTGCGCTAAAGAAAAAAGACAAACTTTTACTCGGCAATTCCGCGACGAATTGCCTTCGTTTTCGAGATTTATCCTATGGGCATTCTGATAGTTTTTAAATCAAAATTATCAGACGGGTCTTTTGTTGTAACCGACTTCTTCTTTTTTTGTATTTAAATCAGAGTTTTTCTATACGTTTCTACGCATTCTTTTGTAACCTTCTTTCGAGGATCAATATGAGATATAATAAACTGTTATACACATAAAGTTGGAGGAGGAAATATGAAGTTTTTCTTGGAAAAAGCGTATAAAATTGATAGAAACCCCATATACAGATGCTGGGAAAACTTCTTTTGGTAAAAAAATCTAATAAATTGAATGAAGAGAACAGTTGACTCATTTGGGTCAAGTGTTTCTCCGAGTCTGGAATGCCTCCAGACGTTGAACAAACTTGGCGTAAATTAACATGATGACTTTGTAAGGCACATACAATATTTTTAGCTCGAGCCTTACGATAAATACTTACAATTAGTGTTAGAAGAGGAAATTAAACTTTTTTTGAAAAAAAATTTTTGAGTTGTTGAGCAATTGCAGCTTTGGGCGAAAGGTATTTAAAATTGATAGAAAAACTATATACAGATGCTGGGAAACTTTTTTTGGTAAAAAAATCTAATGAATTGAATGAAGAGAACAGTTGACTCATTTGGGTCAAGTGTTTCTCCGAGTCTAGAACGCCTCCAGACGTTGAAAAAACTTGGCGTAAATTAACATCGTTGCTTTGTAAGGCCTATACGAGATTTTTAGCTTCAGCTTTAAAATAAAAAAAAGCATCGAGGTTACCCTCCAAAAGGTCCCATCCGGAAAACTTGACCTCTTCAAGGTGAGATATCTACGTTAAAAATCACCTATATACAAATTTCATTTACTCTACATGCCTTCTAGAAATACAATGTCCCTTATGCAGACTGATGTTTGAATACGGTCCACAGCAGAAGATGGGAGTTACTGGGCCCTCAGTCTCAGGCCAATCCTTAATCCAACGAAGATAACAGGGCATCTTGAAGGACGCTGTGGCCAGGTCTTTGGTAGCAGCGATTGTCGTTACCACCATGACAATAAATGCGATGGCTGAAAGGTAAAAAAATACTGTTGTATTGTACTAAAATTTCAGAGAAATCTCATTCTTTGGATCATTATTTTCGTGTAACGGTTGAAAAGCGTTTTTTAAGGAAACGTATTTTAAAACAGCCTTACCGAAGGTAGCTCCCAAACAAATGAGCTCCAGCCTCGGTGTCTCTTTTATCCCTTGGATTAAGCTGATTCTTTCACTGTCTGATTCTCCATTTGCAACTGCTTTCAAAGGTTTTTCTCTTTGAGACTTGTCGACATTATCATTTGACATTTGCTTATCCAACACATTCAAGGTAAGGTAAAACAGCACGGGGAATAGAAACGAAGTAGTTGAGACGATTGTTCCACCAAGTAGGCCCATTAGCGGTCCAAATTCAGGGAAAGTTTCGACCACAACCAATGCCAAAAGCATCAATGAAGAGCGGATGGCGACTCGGTGCAGTCCGAATTCTGAAATAGACAAATGATGGCGTTTTCTGAACCTAACATAAGACGTATACATAAATGCAAAGATTGACGTGTGTGCCAGTCTTTTTGATGACTTTTATTACATTGATTTCGAGTAGATTTGTCTGACGTATATATTTTCCAAGTTCTTTCTGTTACCAAAGCAATTCGGCCCGTAAAAGAACCAGGATTTTTATAAAATATTTTATAAAAATATATGTACATACGAAGCCTTGGTCGCGGTTTTTTGTAATCATTATGTTTCTAGACCTCCAAAAAAGCCTACTCACCCTGCGGCGCTTTGAGCAGCTCTTCGGCCGTTTGCATGACAGGATTCATGATCAAAATGACAGCAAACATGCAATGAGCAGTTATCAGCAGGTTCACAGATTGCTGAATCCATTCAATTTGAAGGTTGTTGATCACTGAAGGTCCGAGGTTCTCATTGTACGCCAAATTGGCCATAATGGATAATGGGAAGTAGAGAATTGAGATGACTAAAAAATTTGTAGTTTTATGGTAAAATACGCTTCTTGATATTGTGATATTGTCTGTACTTACAAGTGTACGCCAGAATGGATGAATATTTGAACTTGAAGGGCTCTTTCATGTCATTCTGAATAGTTGGGAAACAAGCATGTCCTCCGTAGGCAAATAAAATACTTCCCAGATGAGTACATGCATCTGTGACATCAAAAGCGGGCAACGTCAAGGAGTCTTGACATAGCCCGATGTCATTTACAACACCTCCAAGAGAAAAGAGTACTGCCAGTAGTGTGCAGACCATCCCGAGTATGATCGCCCACCTAAAATACACTCATTTTGAGCAATTTTAAAAGCGGTTTTTTGGGATAATAGTAATTTTGGGCTTACCAAAAATCCTGAGGTGATTTTAGATAGCAAAACGGCGTAATTATTGCAGTCACAATGACCGCAACATAACAATAATCAAAATTGTGCTTGAAAAACTGCTTGAAAGCGTCGTTAATGTTCTTGGAGACGATCACCATCAGCAAAACTCCACAACAAAACATCCCAAAATTCAAGACGACGTCAACTGCGATCCTGAAAAAATCCAATAATTTTTGTGGCATTTCGTCAAATAGTTATAAAGTTTTATAAGTACGGCCAACGAAGGTTAATCTTTTGTGAAAATAGCAGGTAAAATTTGGTAAAATACGGACAAGCTTAATACGTAGTCAATTTCAAAAAATCCGATAATTTTTGTGGCATTTCGTCAAATTTGGAAAAGTTTGAGTTTTTTGTTACAAACTACACAAAACGTTTTTCTCGGCCATTCTGTAGATAAGGTACAATATCGGCCAAGCCGAGCTTTAACCCAGCTTTCGCAAAAATCAATAATTTTTGTGACATTTCGTTAAACCTCAAAAAACAAAAAATTCAGGAAGATTTTTAAAAAATAGTAGAAATATATGTAAAATACGATTGTGTGGGCCTTGCCGACCATATTTACCTAATCGAAATTTTCCAATATTTTTTGTGACATTTCGTCAAAACTTCAAAAAAACCTGTCAAACCCCCAAAAAATCTCACTTCATCCACCTCCCATGTGATCTCAATCCAATCTGAGCATACGGATCACGACAATGGAATCGATATTCCGGCCAATGCTTTTGCAAAATTAACCATGACCGACCCAAAATTACTCCACAATAAGTCGCCATTATCGCCGAAATTGCCATGAAAATTAGGCCAAAATAAAATTCTAAACTTTTTTAAAAATACTTCAAGTGAAATATCGATGACTTACCGAGCGATCTGACTGCAATTGGAAGGGCAATTGCTCCGGCTCCGGCCATTTCTCCGGCCAAGAAGATGCCCGTCAAAATCCAGTTCATCCCTTTGGTCCGGGTCAATTTTCCATCTTGATTATATTCGAATATTGGTTTGTGGAACTCATCGGATTTTTCTAGGGTATTCTCGACTTGATGTTGAATTTTTTGACTTTTCACATGAGGTTTTTCAATGGAATTTGATGACATTATTCGGAGTGATTTTGACTGAAATCATGGTGAAAATATAAGCTTTTACTGAGCATACATGTATGTAATAGTCAAATGAGTCGAAATATCAGTCAGTCGGGAAAATAGAGAGAAAATAATGAGCACAATGTCGCTGTGCTCGTCGCGTAGCCGAAGTGAAAAGCAATTTGACATTGCCGCGATACAATTCATTTTTTTCGGTGCAATTTTTGGTGCAACGGAGCGTTTATTATTTTCCCGACAATCTGAACAAGTAGTGATTTAGCACGTTAGGATTATGGGTAAAATACGGTCTATTTCTTTGTCCACATTTGCAACCTTCGAAGAAAAAACAATCTTTTTCATGCAAGGCTTGCAAATTTAAAGCCAAAAAAAACATTTGTTCTCTCAACATCTCCTCTTATTTTTTACAGTGTCACGTGCAAACCCCGTTGAATATAATAGCTCATTATCAGTTGCTACTGCAAATCATGAGCTCAGATCTTTTTGGAATGATTTATTGCCTGGGAAAAAAGTCGTACGAACACGGGAAGTACTCCAAGTGCGACACTCAGATTTTGATGAAACTTGGCACAAATTTAGAATATTTTTTTCTAAGATATATGCGAAAATCCTAGCTCGCGCTTTGCAGAAACAACCGAGATTTTTCGATCGAAAGTCGGCGAAAATGTGAGACTTTTTGCCAAATTTCGGCACGAAAAGTTTCATGCCTATTTCTACCATAGAGGGCAATGTTTCCACGAAAAAAATCATTTTTTTTCGGTACGAAACTAGCAAAGTTATGATCAAAAAGTGTTTTTCTCTTTGACCACACTTCGCGTTTAGTGTACTCTTTCGGCGGCAAAAATCGTTCAATATCTCGGCAGAGCTTGCAAACCACGAGCTAAACCTTTCAGGAATTGATATATGGTTCACGATCGACGTGTGTGCAAAATTTGAAGAAAATCTGAGCGTCGCACTTGGGTACTTCCCCTGTAAATTTGGGAAAGATTCGGCCTTTCTGGTTATAGCTATGCCCTTACATATATAATAAAGTAAAGGTAGCCCTAACAGAATCGTAAATTATAAAACGGAGAAAAAAAACAAAAGATAAAAAGCTCAAATTCGAAACCGAGCTTATCAGTAGAGATTGCCACGGCTCCGGAGCCGGAAATTTTGAGTTTGGCTCCGGCTTCCGAGCCCGAAGTTGGAGCCAGGGTTCTCAATGTTCAAAAAAGTAGAAATTTCGTGATCTTGAAATTTTGACCGTTGCAATCTCTGCTTATCAGCGAAATAGAAGCCGGATCTAGACAAAACTCAGTTTTAATTTGGGGAACATTGCACTTTAATCATTAGTAATTGCTAATTAATGATTTCTGATGACTAATTTTTCAATTTTTCTCCCAAAAAAGGCCATTCTTCACATAATTCGAGACGGATAAAAACAAAATTTATATGATTTCAAACCTTCCAGATCACTCTGGTTTAACAACAACATGATCAAAGACCATTTTGGATATATATATTTATGATATTTTTTCTCTAAACTCACGAGTTCTTCGTTCCAAAAACAACAAACCTTTCAAATCCGGAGAAGAATCTGAAATTCCGCTTTGAGAAAGGTGTTTATGTGTGCTGTAGAATACCAAAATTCAAAGGATTTCCCCGCTTTTGTTTGGTAAATAATCAATTTGAAGCAAAAGTTTGTCTAGTACAATATAATTTTTTTTTATAAATTGGAATTTTTAGCCTTTAAAATGTTAGAGAGGACAAAATAATAAGAAATGGAAGTGAAAGAGCCGTAGATTACAGATTCATTTCTGACCTTATTCTGAATAAAATATGATATGTCATTGTTATGCAAAAAACTTCGATTTCTTTGAAATTCATGCAAAATGAAGCAAAATTGTAGGCAACAACGGACTTTCAAGGCTCATTTAAAAGAAGTTTAACGTTAGACTTATCAAATTTTTATTTTCAACATGATTTTTATATTATACTTGACATCAGATATCACAGCCTTGAGAAGTCTCCAAAAATACCTTCAAAACCTCCGAATTTTAATTTCAATATTGCAAAAAACCAATCTTGCATTTAATCACACTCTAAGTTACTTTAAATCACATTACTTTACATCTTTATTTTCAAATTCCAATATTTCGCGGGCTTTTGGCGCTTTTTGGCATTCCGTTTCAACACGTCATAAAAATGCGTGGAAACATTTTTTTCGTGAAGAAACATTTTTTTCCGCTGTAAATTTTGAGTAAATGTAGTAATGGATACTGAAAACTTTTATGAGGTAAGTGAAAAATTGAATTTTATATTATTTTAGGTGTTAATTTTCCTTATTTTACCAAGTTTTAGTCTGAAGGCCCTCTGGTTTGGTCGAATAATACAGAGAAGGCTCAAGAACGGGTCGAACCTTGTTTAGAATTGCAATTTGACTTCAGCCAAGAGCTTGCCGAACTACGCGCTGAGTTGGAAGGATCCAAACAGAAGGAGGAACGGTTGTTGGAGGAGATTCAGCGAGAATTAGATGGAGCAATTGGGCCTGCTGGTAAGTGATCTTCTTCTTGATATTTTCTGTTTTTAGGAAGATGTTTATGGGGGATTTATTGAGATTTCGATGGAATTTTGTGAGATTTTTGTAGTTTAGGTAGTCATGGATAATATCCGCGGGGTTTAGGCTAAAGTTCTTCAAATTTTTTTGATTCAAGAGGGTTTGCTAAGCGTGTAGATTCTTTGAGAATGCTCTTAGCAAAAAATTGAGTTATTTTGTTATGAATTTTGTTGTCAAATTTATCTTAACCATGCCACATGATGGCTATGGATAATATTAGCTGTTTTTCGCCAAATTTGTTAAACTTTCTTGTGGAAATTAATATCTCCACCTCGCAGGTGGTTTAATAGAGCTTCTCAAGTGCTTTTCACACCATTATCTTCCCTGCTTTTCAGTGATTTTACCTCATCTTCACCATCCCATTTCAGGTGTGGAGAAATTTATGAAATCCTTCGATCAATCAGTTGCCCGAGTCTGCAGTCTCAACGAATGTATCAAAAGCGATGCGAAACAGCTCAATTCAAGTCTCCGCACAGTCTCGGCGCTGGCCGATAACATCAGTAAAAAGGTTGCAGTGCTGGATCAAGCCAAAGGTCGTGTTGTGGAATGCCTGCAACTTGTAAACGACCTTCGAGATTTGCGAACATGCGCTGAGGGAGTACAGAAAGCCATGGCAGAGAAGGATTACGATGAGGCGGCGCAAAACATCCATCGATTTTTGACATTGGATTCGGCTGTTTTTAGAGTCGGTGATGTTGGAACAAAAGGTAATTTTTCGAATATTTTTTGATTTTTCGGAGTTTAGAACCTGGCCAATCACTGAAACACAGCTACGAGATTCTCCGATCCGCTCAGTCCGAGCTCAAAGTTATTATCGAGCAGAAATTTGACGAGTCTTTGGCCGCGGCCGACGAGAAATCCATCCAAAAGTTTTTCAAATTGTTCCCAATGATAAATGATCATTCTACGGGCCTCAAAAAGTTCGGCCACTACCTTAATGGCAAGATTGCCAACTCAGGTGAAGAGTTCTACAAGGTTATGCAGGCCGGAGGAACCGACGACAAGAGGATTAATGTTCTCTATGCTGACACATTAACCTTGCTTTTGGAGCACATCGCCCGACTGATTGAGACCTACCAACCCATCATTGACAACTTTTATGGACCGGACAAGCTTCTAGACTTGATCGAAATCATCGAAGTGGAGGCGGATCGGCAGGCTATTAGGATTATCAACGCCTTCCTTCAGAAACGCCAGTTGGATGAGAAAATTCGGACTGTTGATGGGTATATGAGAGGTGGAGGGAGGAGTGCTGGTAAGAGATGGAGGTTTTGTTGAATTTTGGGGAAGATGGGAGGTAGAGATGGAAGGGACTTTATTTTAGACAAAAAGTATTATATTACAGGGTCTTACAAAAAACGTGAAGGAAAGTGGAAGGCTATAACGCAAAGACTTCGTATTTGAAATATGTATTTTTAAAAGACATAAGTTTTTGTCTACGAAATAACAAGCTTTTAAAGTGCAAACTGAGATCGCTACGACCTTCTGAAGTAGAGGCATCTCTACCCCGAAAACCAGGTTTTTTCGGTTGAAAATGATCGAGAAATTTCGGACTTTGTCGGTTGAAAATCAGCAGGAAATGTCGGATTTTTTGGAGGGTTTCGATATGGGTGATGTTGAAAAAGAAGAGGAAAGTGCCAACGCTTGTAATTTTTTCGACGTTTTCTTAAAGACTATATCAAGCAACCCCAAAAAATCTAACATTTCCTGGTGATTTTCAACCGACAAAGTCCGAAAATTCTCGATCATTTTAACCGAAAAAAGCTGGTTTTCGGGGTAGAGATGCCTCGACTTCAGAAGGTCGTAGCGACCTCAGTTTGCACTTTAAAAGCTTGTTATTTCGTAGACAAAAACTTATGTCTTTTAAAAATACATATTTCAAATACGAAGTCTCTGCGCCGCCCACGCAAATGCTTTTTTGGTCAAGTTTTTACCAATTCAAAAGTTTTGTTTTGAGCGAAAAAACTGCTGTTTTTGTCTCAAACTTTCTTAAATTTTATTTATTTATTTATTTTTTTATTTTCTCCAGAAAAAATTGAGCCTCGAGATTTGGACGTTCTTTTGGCCGAGATCACAATCATGCACACGCGAACCGAACTCTACTGGAGGTTTTTGAAACGTCGCCTCGGCGAAGCGCACCGCCCATTAAGCGAGTCCGGCGAGGACGGCCAATTAAGCCCCAAATTGGCCGCCGAACTGCGCGACTCAGTATTCGATCTGGACGAAATGACCGAAGAGCAGCGAAAAGAAACGGCCGAAAAGCAAAAGCAGCAAAGAAAAGAGCGAAATCAGAAACTGGACACACTTTTGAATCGCTCTCAACTCAGCATGAGGATGCAGGAAATCTTGGGGAAATACGTCCTACTAGAGCAATATTACATGACGGAATCGGTCAAAAAAGGCATCGAAATGGAGGATGTGGAGGAAGGAGCACTCACCAGCTCCCTATTGGACGATGTGTTCTTCATTGTACGCAAAAGCATCCGCCGAAGCATCACCTCCAGCTCGGTGGATTGCGTCTGCGCCATGATGAATAATGGATGCACGCTGCTGGAAACGGACTTCTTTTTGCATATTAATAAGGTTATCAAGGTGAGTGGGGAGTTTTGGGAGGGTTTGAGGGGGTTTTGAGGGAAGGAATGGATTTTTTTTTTTTTGGATTTGGGAAAAATGGGATTTTTTTTTATTTTTTGAAGAAAGTTTGTGTTTTGAGCCGGAAATAAGTTGTTGAATTTGAGCGAATTAAGTAAAAAAAGTCATTGAGAAACTTCGTATTTTAAAAATATTCTTGATATTTTTTGTTTGGACAGTTTTTTTTTTATTTTTTTTTGCCTTCGGATATTATCCATGAGAATTTTTAGTGATTTTTTGGAAAATAATCCTGAATAAGGGTTTGTTTTGTGACTGATTTTTGTTATAGACATTGTAGGAATTACTTATTTTTATTTAGACATAGATTTGATATGAAAATTTTAAGTTTTTGGATACCAAATTTTGAATTTTATATTATTTTAGGTATAAATTTTTTTTTAATTAATTTTTTGTTGTAATACTTTGTATTTTAAACTTTGATGATTCCAGAATGGATATCCGAGTGTTGGATTTGCCGCCGAAGCCTATCAAACCGCCCAGACTGCCTATAATGTCCTACAACATGGAAAATCGGTAGCAGAAGCTGGCCCTGAATCCCAGCGAACTGCCTTCATCTTAGCGCTAAATAACATGGCTGAAGCTGTCAAATTTTTGGGGACGCTGAAACAGGGATTGAGAGATGAATTCGAACGACATATGGGAACGTTGTCCACCAATGAAAAGAATAAATTGGAAAATTCGGTGGCTCAGCTGGATGACCTGGCCAAAAAATTTAGCCAAAGCACGAGCATTGGCATCGGGAAGTTGGTGGATTCGGCGTTTAAGCCGAAATTGAAGAGCAAGTAAGTGAATTTGAAGGTTTTGGGTGTTGTAGTAGGGATGAATTGATATTTTTTGAATTTTTTGGGGGAAAAAGGCGTAGGGCGTGGATGAAGGTTTCCCAGAGAAGAGAATATGCCATAATAAATATGTCTACCATAAATTTTTGATATATTACGCACAGTTGAACTTCTGAAAATTGATATAAAGGAGGTTGAAAAAGTTGTTTTTTATATCTTGAGTCAAGTGTTTTATGATCTTAAAATGTGTCCAAGGGACATTTAGAGTGTTTGTTGTCGATTTAGAGCTTCTTTGAAACACTAATGTACGAAGATGCCACTTTTTTTACAATTTTGGATATTGCACTAGGCAAAAATTGATGATTTTTGAATAATTTTTGGGATATTTGAGTACATATTGGTTCCGAAGTTAGTTAATAGGATATTACAAATAATTACAGGCCTTGAGCATTTAGTTTATGGTCGAAAAAAAAATTTTTTTTTACCAAAAATTTTTTTTTTACTTTTTGATAGCAAAATTTTTCAATTGATTAATTTTAATACTTTTTTTTAAAGTTAGATTAAATTTAATGTATTTCCAGCGCCGACGCATACCTCGGATTCAACCACGAACTCAGCGACGACGAATTTATGGACTTTGAAATCAACGATCCATTCATGGCCAACTTTATATCCCAATTGGACAAATTGATTGCGCCATTTGAGAAATTGTTGACGGAAGAGAATTATAATGTAAGTTGGGGAGTTTAGGAGAAGTTTGAGGGGGCTTAAAGGAAAAATTTTTTCAAAAATTGAGATTTATCGATATTCTCCTTGATATTTTTAATGAAAATTGGGTGAAATAAGGTAAAATTTGATTTTAAATTGATGGTTTTGGAATTTTAAAGAAGCTTTTGGATGGAAATTGTGGTCTAACGGCTTTGAGGAATTTGTTTAGCCTCTTTCTGGTCCAAATTTTTGATTATATTATACTTGGTAGTGCTGATAAAAAATTGAAATTTTGACGCCGAATTTGATACAAACCGACTATTTCTGGTATTTTCAGGAGCTGCTTGGCGCAGTAATGGCTGAAACGGCCCGCCGACTCGAAGCCGTCCTCCTCCAAATCGACCTCAACAGAAACGGCGCCCTCCAATTGGACCGAGAATTCAGGGCCCTAACCGAATATTTCACAAACATTGGTGGGTGGGCGATACGCTCAAAAGCTGTCAGATTGTCGCAAATTGTGGGGCTTTTGAATCTGGACACGGTGGACGAAGCTGTCGCTTATTTCCATGACTCGGTAGCACATCAAGGCCAAACTTTGACCTCAAGCGACCTCAAAAAGTTCCTCAAATTGAGAACCGACCTCCCCACGGACAAAATAAATCAAATCAAAGTGTAATGGAGGGCCTTGGAGGTGATTGCACACCAGATGAAGCGAAACGGTTATATTGTTCATGTGATGCCTACTATAATATAATAATGTAATTTATTAGCGAAGATGGATGATATTGCTGAAGTTTTGCGGACAGCTTTGTACAAACGAGCATTTGGGAGAAGGGCTTGTATCGGAAATACAATTTCAGATCAGGAAAGACAACAAACTTGGAATGGATATTAAGTTAGGTGGAGGAGATGGAAAAATTTAAATTTTTAGGGATTTGAAGGAAATTCGGAGGGTTATAGGGATAGTGAAGATTTCTGAGAGTGTGAAGAGGGTATTGGAAGAAAAATTGGGGTTGGGAAGGGTGGATTTTGGGGGTTTTTAAGAATTTTTTATGAAAATTGATGGTTTTTGGCTAAAACAAGGTGAAAAATTGAAATGAAAGGGATTTTTGAGAGCAAAATGGGTTGTAAATGAGACAAGATGTCTGTAAATTAATTGGCAAATCAAAATAGAGTAGGTTTTTATATTGCACTTGACATTAAAAAAAATTTTTTGGCACTTTTCGACCAAAAAATTTCGAAATTTTTTTTTCTAGAAAATTTTTTTTTCTGGATGCTTATTTTTCTAATTTTACCCTTTCAATACTCCCTCCGCCTAACTTTACATCGAAATTTGGGCGGAGAAACCGTCAATCCCAAAACCCGCCTGTTCGAAATTTCCCCATCGCAACTTTCGAACGAAAAATTGCGCAGCAAATTTGCGAAAATCAAAAATAATTCCATCCGAGCCAAACTCTCCCCCAAACATTGGCGCTTCCCAATCGAAAACGGCATAAAGGCCTCGAAACGGCGCAGATTTTGGTTCTCGTCCAAGAAACGGTCCGGCCGAAACTCCTCGGGCTCCGGGAAATGGTCGGGGTCGTTGAGGAGAATCGAGACCTGCGGGAGGACCATGGAGCCTTTTTTGAAACGATACCCGTCGATTTCGATGTCTTGGGTAACGGTCCGAAGCAGGTTTATTGGGAGGATATTGGCGAGACGTTGGATCTCCTGAAAAGATTTTTTGTTTTTTTTTTTTTTGAGAAAATAGGAAAAGATTTTTATGTATCAATGTTATCAAATTTAGCAGAGGCTTCTAGCCTAAATTTTGGCCAAGCTTCGTCATAATCTGGTCAATTCTCAGTTAGGGAAACACTTGACCCAATTGACCGGGGAAGCACCCCAAGTGCGACGCTCAGATTTTGATGAAACTTGCCACAAATTTAGAATATTTTTTCTAAAGTATATACGAGACTCCTAGCTCGCGCTTTGTAGGAACAACCGAGATTTTTGGATCGAAAGTCGGCCAAAATTTGACAATTTTTGCCGAAATTCGGCACGAAATGTTTCATACCTATTTCTACAGTAAAGGGTAATGTTTCCACAAAAAATCAATTTTTTCAGCGCGAAACTAGCGAAATTATGGCCAAAAAGTGTTTTTCTCTCTGACCGCTCTCCACGTTTAGTGTACTCTCTCGCTGGCCAAAATCGCTCAATATCTCGGCGGCGCCTGCAAAGCGCGAGCTAAAACTTTCAGGATATTGAGCGATTTTGCCGCCGAGAGAGCATGTTAACCGCGGAGAGTGGTCAGAGAGAACAACACTTTTTTGGCCATAAATTCGCTAGTTTCGCGCTGAAAAAATTGATTTTTTGTGGAAACATAACCCCTTTACTGCAGAAATAGGTATGAAACATTTCGTGCCGAAGTTCGGCAAAAATTGTCAAATTTTCGCCGACTTTTGATAAAAAATCTCGGTTGTTTCTGCAAAGCGCGATCTAGAATTTTCGCATATATTTTAGAAAAAATTATTCTAAAATTGTGCTAAGTTTCATCAAAATCTGAGCGTCGCACTTGAGGTACTTTCCGGTTAGGGAGAGACTTGACCCAATTGAGTCAAGTGTTCACCTCGGAAACCAAATTCCGCCAAACAAGTCTCGACACCATTTACATAGGTTTGCATAAATTGGCTGGCCTTATTTTATATCCGTTAGTCAACTTTTAAAATATTTTTTTGACTTACATTAATCGTTGCCTGCAAATAGCTCAACCGATTCCGATGCTCCATTCCCACTCGATTCGGCACACAGTCCAACTCCTCATGGACTTTTTTCTGAATCTCCGGATGATTAATCAACAAGACAAGACCCCATTTGGCGGTGGTTACAGTAGTCTCACTGCCAGCGAAAAATAAATCCAACAGCAGCATTTTCAGTTGAACGTCGCTGAAAAATCCCATTTCACCCGACAATTTGCGTTGATGCATCTCTTTCATATAGACGTAGGTGAAGTCCGAGTCCAGATAATCGATTTCTTGAGCACTATCGGTTTCCGTAGCATAGGATTTTTGACGATTTTCGCGATTTTCATCGTTTTGGATGAATTCAAAGTCTTCCTCGGAATTTTCGCTCTCCGATATGCGATATGCCCGCAGGGGAGCAGTGGAAATGTCTTTGGCAGAGCCGGTATTACTCCTTGTTACAGGGTGACAACTTTTTTTCTCATTTTGTTCGGCTAAATGCTGGTCAAACGCGACTCGATGCTCATTAATTTGGGCGTCCAAAAAATGCCAAAAAGTATCGCGAACGGCCGTTAGTTTCTTCCACGAGCTATTCAGCACCGGGATTTTGACCGTGAATGGCAGTGTGAGGTAAAGCCCGTTGATGGGCTTGGTCACAAGTTGGGATTGTTGATCCAAGACGTGCTGCATCTCGAGGAAGTCTTTGTCGGTCTGAAAACAAAGTTTTATGCATTTAGTTGGCTGAAAAAAAGGTTAAAAAAGAGATGATTATTGTTGGAGTTGAAGAAGCATAGGTTACAGGTACTTTAGCGAAGGAGGAAGAGACTTGACTCAATTGAGTCAAGTGTTGCACTGGCCGGAAAATGTCGTCAGATCTTGGTGAAACTTGACATAAATATTGAATGGGGTTTTCGAAGACACATTAGAGGTTTTTTAAACCTCTAATGTTTAGAGGTTTAAAAAATGCGATTTTCAAAAAATCAAATGCGATTTTCAAAAATCAGTGAAGACAGTAAAATGTTTAGGCCCAAAAATTAAGGAAAAGTGTCATTTTTCAAAACTTTCGGTCAAAAAATCTTGGTAGTTTCTGCAAAACGCGAACTAAAAATCATGTAAATGCCGTCAAAAATTCTATTCTTGATTTAGGCCAAGTTTCTTCAAAATCTGAAGCCAATTCCCACTGAGAGAAACAGTTGACTCAAATGAGTCAAGTCTCTTCCTCATTCTAAAAAATAGACTTTTCCGATAAATTTTTTCGGCATAACCTAGTGCGCCAAAATATTGATTTTTTTGCATTAACCTACCTGCTCAAACGTCCTGCTGAACAAAATATCATTGATGATATTTCCAACACAAACACCCAACAATTTGTCCGGCTCGATGATCCCGTCATTCTTCTCGATAGCCAAATCCAAATTGTCCAAAAAGCGGTCAATTTCTCGCATCACTTTATTCTCCATAAAGGAGCGACCAACGCCGAAGTCGCGCAAAACGTGGAGAGAAAATCTCCGCTGCTCTCGCCACTTCTCACCGTCCGTCTGGACCACGCCGTTGAACCCGTCTGGAAAAGTTTTTTTTGGAGTTCTTATGGTCCTTATAGTTATTTTTTATAGCCTTTTTAGTCCTTTGTATAGCTCGTATTTTACAAACCCAACTCTTACCAAGCATGTGGTCTGTGATGAAATTCCTCCAGCGTCCGCTGAACATGTCGCCATGCTTTATAAAGTACTTTTTGAGCAATGGCACATCAGCCACCATAACCATGGGAATGGGACCAATCCAAAATGTAAAGATACCGCCAAACTTTTGCTTCCATTTCAAAAATAATTTATCAATATCCGGATTGAGGAGGACCTGAAAAAAGATTTTTATGTTGGGGAAGAGAAGTTGAGAGAAAGCCGACCGTATTTTAAAATTTTTGACGAAGGAAACACCATAGCCACTTGGCTACAGCGGGGGTCCTGTTCCAGTGGCAAAACACGTACCATTTTGCATCCGGGAAGTATCAAAAATGTGGCAAAATGCTTCCCTCTCTCTCTCTTTTCTTGTGAGGGAAAGGGCGCGCCCTTCAAAACGAAGTTTTTTCACTTGGAGAGGGAAGCATTTTGCCACATTTTTGATGCTTCCCGGCTGCAAAATGGTACGTTTTTTGCCACTGGATCATGTCCGTCACTGTACGTAGACCGCACAAAAACACGTCAAGAGTTCTTGGCATCTCGATTTTTCGGGTCGACGGACAGTTCAGGTTAATATAAAATCGATCGATACGAAGCGTGTGACTGGTGATGACCCAAAAAAAGACCGTAGGAGGTGCCTACAGGGCCTGGAAAAGCCGCTGAATGCTTGGCTGACGGTCCGCGAAGGCTCGGCGGAGACTTGGCGAAGACCTTCAATATGACTATTTCTTCTAATTTTACATAGCTATTGCTAACCTTATTTGTTTTGACCCTGATTTGTTCTAAATAGAAACAACAAAAACATGCAAAAAAAACGAAGATCCGTAAGTTTTATCTGAATATTAGTGCATTAGTACATGTAAAATACCTCAAAATATGTGATAAACTATTCGTTCACCTGATGAATCTTGTCATTTCTTTTAACTAGCCTAGAATCTTATCATTTCTTCTAGCCACTATAATTCATTAAACAAAAATTTGAGGTTAACCAAAGTACCGTCGGCCCAAACTGTCGCTGATCCGAAAAGTCGTAACGTCAGCTTTTTGGCCCACTTTGTAGACGGCTTTATTTGCACTTTGATTATGCTAAAAATAAAAAAATTAACAAACCTCCAACATATTGCCTGCAACCAGCCATGGAACCGGGCCTGGTGGTAATTTCCGACGCTTCCAGTAAAGCTCATGAAAAACGTATATGATTAACAACGTGGATAACAGAAATGGCACCTGAAATTATTCCGCTGTCATTCTAGAACCGCTGTTTAATAATCAGAGAGTAGTTTCTAATCCAAAACATTACTCACCGAGACATGTTCACCAACCCAATCCAACAGCATCATTAGGCCTTTGTTCGTACAGCTTACGACATAGTATTTACAACAACAACAAAAGCGTCTGAAAGTAAATGTTTTGTGAAGGGGAAAGAAGATGATCCGGAGGTATTTATAGATCACCGGAGGGAATGAATGACGTAAAGCCGCGGAGAAAAGCGAAAGTGTCTGGTCAGCCATGACTCATTATCCTCATTACCTGGGATTCTTCGACAATGACTGGATATGGTCGAAACAAAGTGAAAACAAAACAAAAAGAAGAGTAAGTTCAAGAGAACAAACATTACATTACTCGCTAATGGTGAGTTCTTTCATCGAAAGTAAGATTTAATTGCGTAGTATGACCTACTTGTTGCAAAAGTTTTTTGGCGCTGAATATCATTTATTTATTTATTTATTTATTTATTTATTTATTTATTTATTTATTTATATTTATTATTGAACGTAACTTCAATTGATTTAAAATCATGTATCAAAGTCGGTCGTGTTTCAGCGTTGATTATAAATTCAGTTTTGCTTAAAATTTGTTAAAAATGACATGGCTGGAAAGATCTCTATATGTTCTCTGAGCACTGCAAATTTCATGGGTTAATCTTATACCATGCGCTCTCTAGGACCGAGTATATTTCGAGCACCAAAAAAATCGAAAAAATTGGTGTTCGGTTCATTTCGGCGGGCCCAACCATTTTGCAGGCAGCTAGGAAAAACACAAAAATTCTGCAGGAATGTATGGAAATCATCCAACATTAGCTTACGGCAGGAAATTATGACGATGGATTTGGCAGTTAGATGTTGCGAATTAAGTTTCCGGGTGTATAAGTGGCTTGAATAATTACTATAAAGTTAACCAGGCATTTTTAAACGGTCAGAAACTATTCTATGAAAAAAAACTTCCATAACTTTGAGTGGAGGAATTCAATAGTAGTCTGTCGGGAAAATAACGGCGGGTCGTCGTAGCGAAATGTCTCGCCTCGTCGAAAAAACGGCGCGGTCGCGCACCAAATCCCCAGCCGTGACTTGCAGTCGCAAAGCCATGATGGGCGATTCCAAGGCCCAACAACCCGCCGTTATTTTCCCGACAGACTGATAGATTCGTGTACTTATCTGTACTAGGGAGTTGTTAATCAATTACAAGTCTATCATACTACAGTGGGGGACCTGATCCAGTGGCAAAAAACGTATCATTTTGCATCCAGGAAGCATCTGGGAATGTGGCAAAATACCTCCCTCTACAAATGAAAAAACTCAGATTTCAAAAGCACGCCCGGTCTTTTTATGAGGGCCCTTCAGAATAAAGTTTTTTCACTTGGAATGGGAGGCATTTTGCCGCATTTTTGATACTTCCCGGATGCAAAATGGTACGCTTTTTTGCCACTGGATCAAGTCCCCCACTGTACGCAGATTAGGGTCGAAAAATCGCAGTTCTAATCGGAAAATGTCGGTTTTTCGCAAGAGTCGCGACGCATTCATTTCAAAAAAGGTGCAAAACGCTGTGCCAGAGAAGTCTTTCTAAATATATACTAGAAAATCGCTTTTTCCACACAAAATTTGTAAAGATTTCACAAAAAAACCGCCTTCCTTTCGTAACGCCCTCCGCATTTCGCGTACTCTCTCGTCTGCAAAGACCGTTGAATTTCTCGGCTTTCCTTGCTGATCGAGAGCTAAAAAGTTCAGTAATTCATACATGTAGCAGCCACAACACAGCCCCAAACTTTCAAAAGAATAAGAACGTTGCATCTGATTCTTTTTTAACAAACCAAGGAGATCAAAAACGTCTTCCTGTCGTGCAAGATAACGAGTCGATAAATTCTTTCGCCAATCAAAAAACTCGAAAATCCCTCTTTCCCATTTTTACTCCCTTCAAAAGTGCCACAACTCTGTTTTTTACTCGCCTCTTCCTCCTCCAACAAAACCTCTTATTCGGAAGCACTTGAGAGCGATTGGACCGTCTACAAGACAGAACAAACACGGATGTGGAAACCCCCCTCGGATTTCGTCATGTTTGAAAATCATTTTACCAGTTGATTTAGTTCATAACCCGCGCTGGGAATTCCGGATCCGTGTGAGATCTCCTTTTCTGTGATGATAGCAAAAGATGTCGAGAATCTTTTTTTGGCGTATTTACGGACCGAGTGGAAAGTACACGTAGAAATGCGGGTGGCAGGAATTAAAGGGGTTTTTTTGAATTGGGTTGCAAAAATGATGACATATCAGTCTGGAGGGGAAATAATGAGCACTCTGTCGCATCGAAAATGGCAGCGCCGCCGAGAAAATGAATTGTGTCGCGACAAAATCAAATTGCTTTTCACCTCAGCGACGCGATTGGCGCAGCGACATTGCGCTTATTATTTTCCCGACAGACTAATAGCAAAAATGTAAGGTATTGATTTTCTTTACTATGGAACCGTTATAATGTCATCAAATTTTAAGCAGGCCATACTAGTCCTTCCGGAAAGTCGCCGGACGGAAATCGGCGACATGCACTCTGCGAAATCGAAAGTTCACTTTGCACTGTGCAATTTTTGGCTTTTTGCACTGTGCAATAAGCTTTTTCGAGCTGTCGCACGCACCCTGAGTTTTTTCTCACAGTGCATGTCGCCGATTTCCGTCCGGCGACTTTCCGGAAGGACTAGTATCAATAGACCGCAAACATATCCCTGAAAATTTTAGCTCTTGCTTTGCACCAGCAGCCAAGATATTCATTTTACAGGGGGGAAGTAGTCCAAGTGCGACGCTCAGATTTTCCCTAAATTTTTCATACACGTCGGGTATGGACTAGATATCAATTCCGGAAAGTTTTAGCTCGCGCTTTGCGGGCGCCGCCGAGATATCGAACGATTTTTGCTGCCGAGAGAGCACGCTAAACGTGGAGAGCGGTCAGATAGAAATCGCTTTTTTTGGCCATAACTTTAGCAGTTTCGTGCGGAAAAATTTGATTTTTTGTAGAAAAATTAATTTTTACGGTAGAAATGGGCATGAAACTTTTCGTACCAAAATTCGGCAAAAAGTCCTAAATTTTGGCCGACTTTCGATCTAAAAATCTCGTTTATTTCTGCAAAGCGCGAGCTAGGATTCGCGCATATGACTTATAAAAAATTATTCTAAATTTGTGCCAAGTTTCATCAAAATCTGAGCGTCGCACTTGGAGTACTTCCCCTGTTAGTCTGAAGAGAGACTCATGAGGAAAGGACAGCAAGAGAAATAAGCGATTTTGACACCCTTTATGCAATAAAATCTCACAGTAAAATGCAACAGCCTCAAATTTAACAAAAAATGGAGCAAAAATTAGACGGCTTCATTGTACGTACCTTCTACAAATCCCCAACAAAAAATTTCTCGAAATTATGGCAAGCGCATTGCAGGAGTACCCAAAATTTTCACCGATCACTGCGGACGAGTGACTATGGGAAATGAGGAGAGACGGCCACGGAAAAAATAGGTTTGGGTGGCATACCTACTTCTCATCGCTAATTTTACAGGGGATGAAACTTGGCACAAATTTAGAATAATTTTTTCTGAGATATATGCGAGAATCCTAGCCCGCGCTTTGCAGAAACAACCGAGATTTTTAGATCGAAAGTCGGCCAAAATTTAGGACTTTTTGCCGAATTTCGGCACGAAAATTTTCATGCCTAGTATACCTCTCTCGGCGGGAAAAATCGTTTGATATCTCGGCGGCGCCCGCAAAGCGCGAGCTAAAACTTTTAGGAATTGATGTTTAGTCCATACCCGACGTATGTGCAAAATTTAAAGAAAATCGGAGTGTCGCACTTGGAGTACTTACCCTGTGAAAAAATTGATTTTTTTTTTTGAAAAAGTTGCAAAGAGGTGTCGTTAGATTTGGACCAGAGCTGATTTCAGCAAAAAAATATTTTTTCCGGTATGGTTATAGGCAAAAAACATTCCTTTTCTGCCCTCAATTTTATGTCCCATCGCCTAAAAAGTCATTGAAACTCCTTGATTTCCCTTGAAAATCCCAAACAAAAGTTTTCAAGACGATTAAAAATCGAATCGCAATTTCACCACACCAAAAATTGAAAATTGAAAAAATTCAAAAAATGCAGCAGTATTTTAAAAATCACCAAGTTTCCGGTTCCAGCCTGCAACAAACCCCAAACTCAGCCCGCTATTATTGTTGGGGCACAAACAAGAGATGGGGTTTATCTCCCGCGCCTGAAATTTCCGAAGCGTGTTGTTCAACCGGTATAACGGGCGTTTTTCCGTTCGATTGACCGACTTTCACTTTTTTTGATACCTTCAACGCGCCGGGGGAGGGGAACCGGTAATTTCGGCGTCAGATCTGCATCCAACAAAAATGCCATTGAAAGAAGATTTTCGAAGCCGATTGACTGGATCCGAACGGTGGATCTTCTCTTTTTTTCGAATTTGGTTATTCAAGAGAAAAGAGGGAGATTGGAAAAGTGAAGGTGACGGGGGAGAAAACTGGATGTCATAAAGACACCCCATCTACCAATAAACATGGTAGATGGGGTGTCAAACCAAGAGGAAGTACCCCAAGTGCAACGCTCAGATTTTCTTTAAATTTTGCACACACATCGGGGATGGACTAAATATCAATTCCTGAAAGTTTTAGCTTGCGCTTTGCAGGCGCCGCCGTGATATCGAACGATTTTTGCCGCCGAGATAGTGCGCTAAACGCGGAGAGCGGTCAGAGAGAAAAACGTTTTTTGGCCATAACTTTCCTAGTTTCGCGCGGAAAAAATTGATTTTTTGTAAAAACATTACCCTTTACAGTTGAAATAGGTATGAAACTTTTCGTGCCGAAATTCGACAAAAAGTCTCAAATTTTCGCCGACTTTCGGTCTAAAAATCTCGGTTGTTTCTGCAAAGCGCGAGCTAGGATTCTCGCATATATTGTAGAAAAAATTATTCTAAATCTGTGCCAAGTTTCATCAAAATCTGAGCTTCGCACTTGGGGTACTTCCCCTGTTAATTTCTGATAGGTCTCGTCAAAATCTGCGAATCGCAGGTCAAACATTTCGTCTAGCATCAAAAACCTGACTTTTCAAAAGTCAATTTTCCCATTTTCAAATCAAATTTTGTAGCCCATAAAATGGCTGACAAGGCAATCTACCCATCAACTATGCCTTCCAGGAAATCTGTGCAAAACAAGAAGATAACCACCGAGAGTCTACCTAAAGACCTCCGAGCCCTCTCTTCTTCATCTCCCCTTCCGAAATTCAGGTCGCGGTTTTCTTAAACCCATGATTTAAATAGTCAAATGAAAGGATCCGAGTGGAATTTTCGCTGGTCATTCGCCGGGTTTACACAACATTAACGTCGTGTAATTGTCATGTTACAAAAGACCGAGGGTGTTCCTTTTGAATTAGGTGAAATTTACGCCGAAAACATGGGTTTTGAGGTTAATGGAAGGTTAGAAATTACTTGGAACAACAGTTTTCGTAGATTCTAAAATTTCTGAAAGCTTTTCAAGTCAGAAAACTTTCGCTTCGGAACCAAAAAATTTTTTGATTTCGAGATGAATTTCCTTTAACAAGGAAAGTACTTTTATGGGGGCTCCTACTTTTTGACGGGACATACCTCAAAAAATCAGAAAAAATGCGCTGATCAAGGATATATAAATCTTAGCTGCCCATTTTAGGTTTTTAAGGGTGAAAATGCCCAAAAACTGGTTTAATTTCCCTACAAAAGGCAGACATTCGAAACGATAAAAAGCGCAGTCCGTCTCTTCCTTCGGAAGAGAGCGATGTGGCCGAGTGGCTAGTGCCGTAGTTTGGGAATCAAGAGGGGAACGCCGCATGGGTTCGATTTCCCTTTTGGGCTGAATCAACTTTTTTTGAAGATGAAGGTTGGAAAAATAAATTTTTGTGCCAAGACTGATTTATTATGCCTTAGAAACTCAATAAACATCATTTTAAGCCAAAATAAAAATTGTAAACCTTTGAAAAAATTAAGCGAAAAGGGGTTCATATAGGACTTTAAGTCAACTTCCGATTGAGTTTTCACCCCTAAAAACCTAAAATGGGCAGCTAAGATTTATATATCCTTGATCAGCACATTTTTCCTGATTTTTTGAGATATGTCCCGTCAAAAAGTAGGAGCCCCCATAAAAGTACTTTCCTTGTAAGAAATGGTCTAAGAATATGTTATAGGATTCCTTTTCACCTTGGCATACCAAATTTAGACCTTTTTCAACTTCTTGGACATCAATTTGCTAAAAATATTTTTTGCGTATAAAATGTCACCTTACCAAAACTTTGCCAGATCACTCTCAAAATTTTTTTGGTCTTCCTTGCAAGGATTACCTATCAAAAAAATCACTTTACGCCATGAAATCACAAAAAATCCATCAATTTTATATTATCCATGACCTTTTCTAATATTTATTGCAAAATAATAAAAAAACCTTTGTTATCTCTAAATAAAATAAAATATCTAAGAGTAGAACCAAATATAGTGAATGTGTCGTCATTAATAACCGAATATCACAGTGAAAATCGAGAAAAAATTGAGATTTTGCTAAACAAGGCCGATTCGGACGGTAAAATAAGGTAAATTTCGTTGAGAAAATAACTGTGATAAAGCCAGACGTGTTTCATAGACGTGGTACCCAAGGATATTCAATTTAAAACCATCACGGGTCTGTTTAGTCGCCCTTAACCTTCAGCTTTTTATAGAAAATTGGAGCGATTGAGAGGGCTGCGAAGAAGGCCAAGGTTAATATCGAATGATAGCTCCAGACAACGTTGGCGTTGGTCATTTGTTGGAGGGTTGTGCCGGCTTGAATAAAGAGGAAGGATGGGGGCGCTACACCGAAGAAAGTGCCAAAAAAGAAGGGTAAAATTGGGACATCGACTACTGGAGAGGCGATGTTTATGAACCAATTAGGGAGGATCGGTGTTACTCGAAGGAAAATTATGTAGTTCAGGAGATTCTCTTGATGTTTCTTGATCTACAAACAGCGATATTACCCAAAATACCAAGAACTAAAAATTTTCTGACAAAATTATATTGAAGTAGGTATCAATCTCGAAGATTTGCTCAAAAATCGAAAATTTCTGTAGAACAATGGCGATAATCTTTATAAAAATCAAATAGCACTCCTCAACGCATCTTTTGACCTAAAAACCAATCAATAATATAAAAAACCAACCTCATTTTGCCAAGCCTTGAGCTTCTCCGGGAAATACTTCATAACCAGGTTCCTGCCTAATGAATATGACAGATAATAGCATACTGCTGCACCACATGCCGAACACTGAAACACAAATGAAATTTAAGCGACCAAAAACAAGAAAATCGCAATACTTCGACAAAATTTATATCATCCATGACCTACCGTGCAAACTAATGTTAAAGCAACGTAGAATGGGAACAAATATCCACTCAAAATGGTCAAGAATATCGATCCAGGGATGGCAAAAGATTGCAGTCTAAAATTGAAGGCAATTATCGTCTTCTCAGCGAGAAAAATTACTTACACTATGTAAACACATGTGACTCCGGCCAAAACTGTGTAGAAATACTTCTCTTTATAGTGAGACAGCACTCTGCCTAAAAGTTTAGCCTCTTCGAGGTTCGTAGGATACTTGAATTGAGCCCGTTCTTCTCTAAACATCAAAATCAATAAAAAAAATTGTAAACTTACTCTGTGAGTTTGGGGAAATTAAGATAGATGCCATAAAGAACACTGGTGTATAAAACAATCACTAATATTGCAACAAAACCTCGTGTGGACACCATTGTTTGTACAGTTGCCTTCCGTTCGTCGGGTGATGTTTTTGCGATAAGGAAATTTGGGAGAGAAAGACGACACTCGGACCCGTTGAGGTATAAGTTAAAACTCGTCCAAAATCGAGACGGTTACTGCGATTTTGATAATGAAAAAGAACGTTTGATAACCCGAGTACCTGAAAAGAGCGTTTAAAATTGATATTGGAAATTAAAACCGAATAATTTTATCTTATCTTCAATGTTGCTCATGAATAATATAAAATTGCTTAAAAAACAACAAAAAAACTTTCAGATCTTACAATTTTACTACAGTAAAAATAGATAGAGGCAACTGAGAACCTTTTACAACCAGAGATTGCCACGGCTCCGGAGCCGGAAATTTTGGGGTCGGCTCCGGCTCCCGAGCCCAAAGTCGGAGCCAGGCTTCCCAGCGGTCAGAAAAGTAAAAATTTCGTGATCTTGTTAAACCAAATTGCTTGAAAAAACACTGCGGAGGATGTGACTTGACTGCAGAAACGTTGGCTGTATGATCTCTGGCACTAATAACTTTTATTTTCGGAAAAAATTTTTAAAAAAACATTTTGCATAGGAGCCGGGATTCGGAGCCGGAGGCCTTTTTAAATTTTGCACGGAGCCAAGAGCCGGAGCTGCAAATTTGGCCTTGGCTCCGGCTCTGGGAGCAAAGAGCCGGAGCCGGAGCCAAAATTTTGACCGTGGCAATCTCTGTTTACAACCCACATAAAGTCGAATTTCGACTAAAGATAACACGCAAACATCAATTTTCCTTGAACAACGTCCTATAAATCGACCTTCGGCAAAGCGCGTAAAAACCTCCAAAAAGACAGGTAAAAAAACGATAATTACCCGCAGGCTAAAGGCTTTGCTCTCACGAGTATTTATCGCATGGAACACACAATTCTCCAAGGATTTCCGGCTTGATAAATCGATTAAGCTAAAGGGCAACATTGAAGTCCTAGTGTAATATAAAAACTAATGAAGTTGAAAACATAACGCGCCGAAACGTAATAAATTTACTTTACTGCTACTTTCAATTCTCGGACCACTTTTTTTGAAACGTCAAAAATTATTTTGCAGACCAAAAAATAAATTTTGTTGCGCAATGTCACTATCGATTTTTGACGAAATGTCAAAGTTGCCAAAATGAGATTTTTGGCTTCTGAAATCTTGAATGATTGTATAAAGCAGTCACTAAACACACAACTGTCTATCTAATCTTCACTTTATTCATAACAGCATCAATCAATAACAACAAGAAGCCGAGGTCTACAAAAAAGTAGAAAAAGAAATGTACAATTGCAATAAAAGTGTGTCAAATATGTTAATTTATAGATTTATTTTGTGCGTTCGTGTCTCCTAAAGTCATCGACGGAATATTGCCAGTGCTGTGAGTATTACAGTGAAGAACAGTGGGGCTGAAAAATCGGAAACCATCACCATGGATAATATAAATAAAAAGTTGTGGAAATGGAAAATACCGGTGAAATCGGCTTATGAAAAAAGTTCAAAAAGTCTTTAAAAGGTTGTAGAGCTAAACTACGGAGTTCCAAACTAAACCGGTGAAAAAATTTAGCATTTTTTGATATTGCAATTTTTGACTAGACCTAACCTAAAATAAGGTCCGAAAGGTGGGAAAAACAAGCAAAAATCCCCATGTTTTTGATAGTAGGTATTACCATGATAATAAACTGGCCTAGTAAATCGAGAAACCCAAAGAAAATAGGCGAAAAGTTTGTCAAATTGAGAATTTTTGTCCGAAAACCCCAAAAAGTCGGGTTTTTAATCAAAACTCGTCGAAAAAATTTATTTTTTGTCAACAAATTATTTGCGCAGTGACTTTAAAATACTCTTTACATAATCTATTTTCTTTCCCAATCTCATTTTTGTGCCCAACCACCCACCAAAATCTCAAATTTTCCTCTCAATTATAATCACCTTTCGAATCGGCCGAATTGAACTGTTTGAAGCCGTTGCTATCCCCATGTTTGCTGGTGTAGAACGCGGTCTCGATGTTCGAACTGATCGGTGTTTGTGTTTTCACCTCCAGCGTCGTTCGGAATTCGCGCGGTTTCTCGTTTTTCTTGCACATTTTCTGCTCCACGCACATTTCCTCGACGGTTTTCGTGTCGAGCTGTTTCAATTTCTCATCGTCAATGTCTTCGCGGCATTTGTCGATCTCTTCGGGGGATCGGAGAAGTGTGCAGGACATGAAGAGCTGCTGAAATTGGAAATGGAGATTAGAAATGAGAGTTATATGGCTCTTGACGGGGGAAATGATGATTTTAGGCTTGAATACGGTGATTTTGGCCGATTTTTTTGATTTTAAAAAATAAATTAGCCATTGGGTTGCATGATAATTGCCTTAAAATGAAATTTCTGATGTCTAAAAAAGAACGAACACTAATTTTTCCGAAAAAAATCAAAAAATCTCGTTTTTCAAAATATAAATTTTGATGACTAAAACAACATTTTTGCTCTATAGAATCCCTTCCAAATCAAATATGAAGCCTTAAAATTCATATTCGACCTATTTACACCCCCAAATTTTCAATTTCACACCGAAAACTCCCGATTTTCAAAAACATTTTTATCTTGAACTCACTTCTTTGAACGCTTTCCCATCTTTCATTTTGGACTCCTGGAAATGTGAGATCACGCTGTGACAAAGCGAACACATCTCTGACCTTGGTATTAACTCAAAGTTCATCCATTCTTGATCTGGATGTATTTCGAAGGCGTTTAAAATTGCGATGAAGAGGAGAAAACTGCATATCCTTATCATTTTTGACATCTTTTGAACTGAAAAAAATGTTGAAAATTAAATTAGAATTATTTTTAATCCACGAGAAAAAATGTAAAATACGGATTGATCAATTTTCACCTAAAAAATTAAATTTCGAAAAATTCAAAAAATTAAAAAAAATTCTGCAACTTTAAAAAATATATATATCGAAGTTTTGCCAAAACATTATATATACTCCACAAATCAACCCCTGAAATTTTTAGCTCTCAGTTGGCAGAGACAGCCGAGATATTCAACAATTTTGTCTTTGCAGACGAGAGACCATGGAAAATTCGGAGAGACGGTCAGACAAATTGTTTTTCGGCCATATCTTGGCTTATTGCTGCGGGGAAAAGACAGTTTCTTCTGGGTAATGTCTACACATTCTTGGAAATAAGACTTTCGTTTTCCATTACTTATGAATCGAGTATTCGGAAATTTTCGAACTAAAAAAGTGGCTGACCTCTGCAAATGGCAAGTCAAAAATCTCTGTCATTTCTTGAAAAATTCTAACCTAAATTTGCCTCAAATTTTATGAAGCCCTAGGGTTCGAAAGCTGACCAAAAATCGATGAAAGTTACTCTGATTTTTGCTCTTTTTATATCGCCCCACAACCGTCGTATTTCAATAAAAATAACTTTGTAAAAACCCCAACAAATCGGTGTAAAATTATAAGCCCCACCTAAAATTTAAAACTTCTTTAAAATAAGCACTCCCCAGCGGCTAATCGACTTGAATTTCCTCACCGAAAGAGCTCGAAAACAATCAACTTGAGGGTGAAATTGAATTCAGTCAGCGGTGAAAAAACAAATCTCTAAGTTGAGGGGAAAGGTTGGGGTGCAATATGGAAGAATTTAATGGGTTAAATGTTCCAAACTTTCTTCGATATTACAAAAAAAAACAGGCGTAAGGGCCTTTGGGAGTGATCATATGAAGGGGTTTCTTTAATTTACAATTTTTTGGCGCTTCCATTCGAGAAAAACAGACAATACGGAACTTTAGGTTGCGTGTAGAAGGAAAGGTATTTTCATGAGACTTGAGCCAAATTTAGATCGTATTTTTCGAACGTAACTTTAGTATATGACAGACTCGAAATTTTTAGCTTGCGCTTTGTAGGAACGACCAAGATTTTTGGGTCGAAAATCTAGCTTTTTTTGCCAATTTTGGCGTGAAAAGTTGAATACCTATTCCTATTGTAGAGGTGATGTTTCCACAAAAAAATCTATTTCTTTTTCATGCGGACAAAAAACATTTTTGAGCTGAATTGGCGCAGATAATGCCAAAAAAAGCGTTTTTCTCCTTGACCGCTCTCCGGATTTTCCGCATTATCTCGTCGACAAAGATCAGCTTTGTATGCCAATTACGAGCTAATATTTTCAGGATTTAATCCATGGGCTAGCCAAAATGTCTATGCAAAATTGGAGAAAATTTTGAGCGACTCACATTGCTAAATTTGTAAAAAACCAGTCCCAGTCTGATATTTGAAAAAAGCAGTTCAAATTCATGCAATTTAAAAAATTTGACAAGAAAATTAGAGTTAGATTTAATGAAGGGTCTTTCAAAACCTACAAAGTAACTTCAAAAAGTATGAAGATTATACTTTTGTCGATTGTGGCGTGTTTACATAAAGGGTCAACGGACGAAAAACTTTGATTTTTTACAGTAAAGAAAAGGTGCGAAAAGAAGATAATTAGTAATTTATTAGCATCGACAAAAGTTTCGCCAAAGTCGAACTGCTATTTGCTATTTATTGCTTTTCTTATTGTTTTGATTAGCTGACGTTAGAAACTAGTGTATGAACACAATTTAAAAAAAAATTTTGTAAGGAAAGGCTGCCAAATGATAGCGAGGCGCAGATTTTTTTAAATTTTGCGCACACCTCGGGTCACACATCAATCTCTGAAAGTTTTAGCTCGCGTTTTGCAAGCGCAGCGGAGATATTGACCGATCTTTGTTTCCGAGAGAGTACGCGACATGCGGAGAGCGGTCAGAGAGAAGAACACTTTTTGGCCATAACTTTACTAGTTTCGCGCGGAAAAAATTGTTTTTTTGTGGAAACATTACTCTCTGCGGTAAAAATAGGTACAAAACTTTTCATGCAGAAATTCGCCAAAAAAGTGTTGCATTTTTGCAAACTGAGAGTTAAAAATCTCGGTCATTTTTGCAAAACCAGGGCTAGGATTCTCGGATATAGATTAGAAAAAAATTTTCTAAAGTTGTGTCAAGTTTCATCAAAATCTGAGCGTTACACTTGGGGTACTTCCCCTGTAAATAAAATTCAAAATTTCCGCAGCGACTTCCTGATTTTTGTTCTAGCGACAAACACTTTTCGGCGATCGCACCCGCGACATCGGCAAAAAAAAATCTACGGACTTTATGGCGCGACTAGTAGCTTAGGAAAAAATAATTTAAATTTGTAGCGATTTTCGTCAAAATTTGAGCACTTTGACCAGTCTTCATAATAAGTATAAGTTGGTCATCTTTGAAGCCTTATAAAAACTGTTGTGTAAAGCCTTTCCATACAAAACTTATATCAGCAGATAGCGTTTTCAACGTTCTTTTAGATGATATAAACAGCAATTCTAAACTCCTATTCTAACATGTAAAAAATACAAAACAAAAAAAAACGGCGGAGTCATACTTCTAAACCTAATAAAAAAAGAAGCTTGTTTTGCCAATCAATTTTCTTGCTTGCAACAGAGCCTGTAAGAAAAGGAAAAATAGAAAAGTAAAATTCTTGGTCCCCAGCAAACGATAAGGTTATATAGTTCAGATAAAATATATTTTTGTTGTAATCGACCGCCTGACCCACCAAATAAATCTACTATAACAAAACCGACAAAAAAGAAAGCGCAGGAGGAAAAGATAGCCACTGATCAAAGACGGCTAATTTTATCTCCTTTTATAGTCGGTTGTTGTTTGACCGGCCAGTAAACAGTAATATACCAGAAAGTTCTTACGAAACCTTCCGGAATCCGAAAAGTCACGTTCTTAGTCATCGCGACGCTTTACACTCGGCTAGCCGTAGTTTAGAACCGATAAAAATAAACATTTTGAACTCGAGTTAATTGAAAACGTATTTGGAACCAAGGGAACTGATATCAAATGAAGGATGAACATGATGACCTTGATTAAAATCATCCGATGGAACAGAATGAACGCTGATTCAAAGGAATAACCTTTCCCCTTTTGATGGAAAGTGGACGAAAGGAAGTTGTGAACGGCTTTCTAGAAGTTGAAAGGGATGCGGTACAACGTTTGCAAACATATCGAAATTTTTGTTATTGAAGAGACCGCTCGTTCTTGAAGTTTGAAGGCACAGAAGAAATTTTAAAATTCGCCGCAAAGCTTTTGATGACACAATTTAACAGGGGAAGTACTCCAAGTGGGACGCTCAGATTTTGATGAAACTTGACACAAATTTAGAATAATTTTTTCTAAGATATATACGAGAATCCTAGCTCGCGCTTTGCAGAAACAACCGAGATTTTTAGATTGAAAGTCGGCAAAAATGTAAGACTTTTTGCGGAATTTCGGCACGAAAAGTTTCATGCCTATTTCTACCCTAAAGGAAAATGTTTCTACAAAAAATCAAATTTTTCCGCACGAAACTGCCAAAGTTATGGCCAAAAGCGTTTTTCACTCTGACCGCTCTCCGCGTATAGCGTGCTCTCTCGGCGGCAAAAATCGTTCGATATCTCGGCGGCGCCCGCAAAGCGCGAGCTAAAACTTTCAGGAATTGATATTTAGTCCGTACCCGACGTGTGTGCAAAATTTAAAGAAAATCTGAGCGTCGCTCTTGGGGTACTTCCCCTGTTAGTTGCTATTAAGACGTATAACATTTCCATAAAAAAGTAAAAAGTTACTGAGCAAGTGAACAAAGTACGATCAGTCTGTCCGAAAAATAATGAGCACAATGTCGCTAGGCCGATCACGTCGCTGAAGTAAAAATCAATTTGATCTTGTCACGACACAATGAATTTTCTAGGGAGTGATGCAATTTTTGATGCGACATTGCGCTCCCTATTTTCCGGACATATTGACAGGAAAAAACCGAGTTTTGTCTGGCCGACTCTCTTCAAGTTGCGCGATCTCTTAAAAAATGCGAAGAGATCCCAAAAATGACGATGAACTTGAGCTTTTTTGGGAGTAAAACTTTTGGAGAGTATGTGAGTTGCTCACAATTTCTATAATTATTTTTTTAAGAAAACAAAAGCGCCCTATCTGGACATATTGTTAAAAAATCTATCTTACACTTGTGCCAGGTCCCTATCAAAAAAAAAACTTTCCAAAAACACACTTTACCCACTTTTGTTGACTACCGTCTACCCAAACCGACTGCAGGGTACAGACTCCAAATTCCAGAAGATTCTGCCCATCAATAAGTAATCAACAATTTACGAGACCGTTTTTTAAAATACACCAAAGGTCTCCGCCTAAACTGCAAGGTTACCCGGTGGTGCGACCAGAAAGATCTACGTGACCACAAAGATTTATGTGACCAAAAAAGTGGTGGAATGAAATCTGAGAAGACTGTAACGTCTGTGTTCTGTGGTGAATGAACCATTAGGCAAAGGGTCAAGTGAAGAAACACATAATTGATGACAGATTGACAATTCAAAAGAAACTCGCGAAAGTGCAGAATTTACAACGAAAAAAGTCTTATGGCTAATGCACTTACAGACAGCGTCGACATGTGATTAGCTAAAACAATGTTGAACTTTATACATATATAGTTACTTATACATATTATGCTATCATAAACTTTAATGATCAAGGATGAACATGAGAGATCAAGCTTTGGAAAGTTGTTTTTCAAGGTACCTGTACTGTTTAATGTTACAAAATATAGGATACGTAATCTCAAAATTGCAAGACACTCCGTATTTTAACCA